ACTTAGTGTATTGAAAATTTAAAGTATAATAAAAGAATGTTAATTTGTGTCAATAATTGGTGTGTCAATTACTGGTACATGAAAAAAATCAAGTGTCAATGACTGGTACTTCAAAAAACTTTTACTATATTATTTCATGTGAAGCAAAATAATTAGAACTAAAAATACATCACTAATGAACTCGAGAAACAATAAGCTACAAGGAAAAAATGTATTATATGCTTAAATTTTTGTATTATTAGTGAAAATAATTATTTAATACAAATCAGTGTCTAAAGGTCTATGCCCACTACACCGGATCATACTATGACCGTGACCGTACCGGCATAGGCAGAAAAATATTCTTTGTATAGATTTAAATGAGACAATGCCCACTAGACCTTCCTGGCATCGACCACACCATCCTCATTTGAATCTATAAAAAAAAAAAAAAATCAGGTACGGTATAGTGGGCATAGACCTTTATAGTGTCAATTATTGGTGCAGTTACCTTAGTTGGCCAGTGGAAAATTTAAAAGTTATAGGCCACGAATAATTGGTTAAGTATTCAACTGCTCTGCTGCATCTTGACAGTTTTGCATCAAATTTAAAAGAAAACTGAACAGACCTAGTAACTGTAAATCAAAGCATAATACCTCGCATGATGCTTAAATCAACTTTCGTCATTAGAAGATTCCTAAGCAACCTTTTTAAATTTGGTGATCTATTTTGTTGATTTTATATTCAGCAATTTATTGTACATTTTGATCCTACTATAGAAATCAAATGTTTACTAGTTTAGATCTGGGTATAAGTAACCACAATTTAAATAGATTGTATGCTCCACACAAAAAAAAGCTCCCTGCTGACAAAAAAATTGGACAACTCCCCAAAAAGCAATTTAATATCTTAACACATTGCGTGTCACGCTATTATCGAGAAAATAGCCCAGGGCCTAAACTACATTTTTGCAATATTTGTATGTATTTACTCAAAATAAAGATTTTTTGATAATTCTGTTTTTTTATAGTTTTTAGCTATTTTTTTTTTCACTTTTTCTATGTCTCTCATATATGAGCAACTTGGTCCTGAAGCAAAAAAAGTTGTAATATTTAGGCTGGGGGCCATGTCTCTCAAATCCAGAGCTAAATTGACATACAATTATTGCAACAAGTGCCCCGGACAACCGCAAATATGTGTGTCATGTTTCAATGAAAAACATTAATTCTTAAATTTTTTCAGTTTTTCTTTTTGCAGTTAAAAGACGTTTTCATTTTGTTATTAGAATAAGCAATCCCAGAATAAATTTTGTTTAATTATTAGGAATAGGCTATTTCAGAATGAATTTTGTTTTATTATGAAAAATAAATATTTTTTTCAGTTTTTTTTCTTTTTGCTGTTGAAAGATGTTTTCACTTTGTTTTTAGGACAAGCAATTTCAGAATAAATTTTGTTCCATTATTACGAATAGCTATTTCAGAAAAAATTTTTGTTTTTATTACACAAAATAGATATTTTTCAAACATTTGTCCTGGTAAATTTATTTTTCCAAATTTGCTCAAACCAAGACCAATATTACTTTCCCCATAGGTCAAGCTTGGGATTCTCCATTTGAAATAAACGGTAGTGGGTATCACATTTGATATACATCGCCAGAAAGTGAGAGATGCTTGTCTCTCATAAATGAGCGATGAAGCCCCGACAAAATGTTTGTGTTTTGCATATATGATAGATGTGGCAGGCAATATGTTAAATGGGACTCAACTAGTTCAGAAGCTTTTATAATACCAACAATTTTATTCTCTTTAGAATGTTAAAATTACTTAAAACTTACTTTTTCTGCAAAGAGGACATGGACACTTTTGATTATTCTCATAACTCTTCTTTTTGACAGTCTTTTTACAAGAAGGTTGCTTAAGGGAAGGTAATTTGCGTTCATATGATAAGCATTCAGTTTTAACTACAGTATCACCTTTATATTCTATTTCTTCTTCATAATTACTTAAGTCGCTAGTGTTGACGAAATAGTCTGAGGCTTTAACTTCACTAATGTCGTCGACACTTGATACAGGCTCTATATCAGCTTCATCTTTACACCCAAACTTTACTTTATTGGGAGATGTTAATTGAGAATAGGGATGGTTTTCCAACTCAGTTGTATTTACGAAACGGTCACTATCGTTGTCGTTGTAACCGCTTGATACAGACTCTAAATTACCTTCTTCTTTATTCTCAATTTTTACTTCATTTTGAGATGTTAATTGAGACAACAACACATTCTCTTCAATTTCCACTTTAACAAAAGTAGTAGGCTCGGTAAATAAGACTATTTCTCCCTTTATTTTTAAAGACTCATCGTAAAAGTTGCATATCGTTTCTTGCTTGATATCCATTTTGTTCTAGACAATTTAACTTATCTTTATAAAAATACAATATCCATATATCCAATTATTGCAAATTACAATAAATAAATAAGCATAAACACAACACACAACAAAATCAAACAAAGGCCAAAGGCTTGCTTCGCCGGTTGCAGAAATTCAGGGGTGCTATTTTCAAAGTCGAGAGAATTCATTTCTCTCGAGAGAAATGTCATACGTCAACGTAAAACAGTATTTTTAGGGTTCTAAGGGCCAGTGTAAACTCACTGATTGTTTCTCACGGTTTATTTAGAGATAATTAAAATCCTCCTAAGAATTTTAAGCCTCGAGGCCTTTAAAAACAGCGTTTCCACATTGACGTATGACATTTCTGATGAGAATCTTGAGAGAAATGAGTACTCACACGCCGTGTGTTCCGTATATCACCTTGGTTAACCTGGTTAGTAAAATCGCGTTCCGTAAATGTCAAATTCCTGAAAATTGTAGATTTACGGGTCAATGTTCCTGAAATGCGGCTGGTACCAGCTGTCACCAAAGTGACCAAACTTTTTCATCGGTTGTTATGGTTGACGTTGACATTTGTGATAATCATCTGTCATATCAGTTAAATTTGTTTTGGACTTTTTTAATTTTAGAAGAAGGAATATTTTAGCAATCGTAAAAACATCAAAAAATAATATCTAGTTCAAGTTCATAAATATAAAAGACATGCAAACATCAACATCCAACAAACAATGCATTGATTTGACCTTTGACATTTAGAAGCGTTCCGTAAATATTTCACTTATCAAAAACCAAAAACGAAACCGTCCTGAAAACGCTAGTAACCGCTTTAACCCACATACTTATAATAGGTATACGGAGCAAGAGAGACGTCCGACCTGTTTAACAAAGGGGCGGCCATTTTTATACAAGATTACTAGTACATAGGTGACCAGAAATACAGCAATATGAAAACTTGGTTGCAGATGTCTAGGTCTTTTCACTTTTAAATACATCATTTTGTACAGATTTTTTTAAAAGAAATAATACAATATTATATCTGAATTAAATTTTTATTCTACAACAAAAAAAAATATTTTAATGTTTAAAAATACATGTTAGGCTGATAAATAATAGGCCGACAAATAATAGATTAAATACCTAAATACTAATTTTAAATGACAAAAGTACAGTAGATGAAGTTAAAAATATTAAAATTTCCAGGATACTTTATAATTAAATTGATGGTTGCATATTTGTTTTATTTTAAACAATTTACTTTCTTCTTGTATAATTTCTAAAAGCTACAAATTTTTAGTGAACGGGTCGTCCTTATTGATTCTGCAGTGAATTGTATTAAAAACTTAAAATAAATTTTGTCCAATCTCTATATGGCAGATAACCACAATAAGGAACGATCTGCTTTTTTTGGAACCCTAAAATAATATAGACACTTCTTTCATATCCTTTATTTTTGCTAAATTTTATTACTTACTTGTGGAATGTAACATTTGAATCTATTGGCAACAGTCTTCTTATGTTCTTGCAAGATCTTACAAGACAAGACATCTTGAATAAAGCCCAGTATAGAGAACTTATACTGGGATTAAAGTCTATTCACAAATGTTAAAATAAATAAAACGTTTATACACTTAAGAAAATAATATCCACAATCAAAATATTCTAAAATAACACAAAAAAATTTAACCAAATTCACAAACATATTAAAATTTGACACTTTTGACAAATAAAGATAAATTGGTTGCATAAGTTTCAGTTTGTTTATATAAAAATGGCGGTCATTTCTATCTTCTTTTATTAAACACTCAGTAAAGATGCGCAGAGGGTTTTACGCCGTATACCTATTTAAGTATGTGCTTTAACCACACCGGTAATATTCGGTGATATACGGAACATACGGACGGTTTGAAAATAGGTCCCCAGAGAATGAAGTTGTCAAATGTCATTTCAAATTGTCAAGTCAAAAGCAGGGTTGACACGGCAAGGATGCTTACTCTCTCATTGCGTTCGGTCTGCCAAGTTCCTTTAACACTTTTAACTCCAAACGACCCTTTTACCGTTAGGTTTAGTCCGATTAGTGACAGTTTAACACGCTTAAATGTCATTTAAAAGCACCCTAAAATTTGTCCCGCTCCAGCCCCTGACTGACCGAACTCGCCTTCTATAGGATTGTTCAATGCATCGTATAACCACAGCTTATTTATAAGCTGTGGTATAACATCGGAAGTATATGGGAAAATGACGTAGTTGCCGGACCATCAAATGCGCGAACTTAAAAATGAACACGATTATAAACTGCTCTGGCTTATATTTCGTGTAAAATAAGAATAGTTAATGGTGGATGTCATGTAATAAACGGTTTTTTTTAATATAAACCGTTCGAGGTATCTATTTCGAAATAAATGAGACAAGATAAGAAAAATCTTTATTATTGGAATTCACGTTAAAACAATACATTTGCTTTCAACGACCACGTTACAATACCAGCAATTATAGGTGATGGCACAATATTTTCTAATAGCACACATTTAAAATCTTTATTAAGTTCCCAATGAAAATACCTACATATATACGAAAAACAAAAGTATCACAAATTTTTTGTTGATTCTTTATATACAGGACAAGTCAAAATATTTGTTCAATACAAAAATAAATATACAAACAAAACTTAAACATAATTGACAATTTATGTGTACGTACTATCTTCATAATATCACAGTATTAATTACTCCATTTTTACTGCATCCGATCATTGAAACATTACTATTTTAATGTAGTGTAGAGGTAAACCACAAGGACAATGTATAAAACTTAAAAAAATAAACATATTTCAAAAACTCAAAAAAAAAATTACAAGGATTTCGATTTGGTGACTTCGATTTCCTTACATCGGATTACGAAATAGCTAAATATATGTTACCTTTAAACCTAATTTTTAATTGAGTTAATCACAAAATGAAAAGAAAAAATATAATTGTTTGGGAAGAGGTCATTTTATTATTGATTTAATTGGGCACAATTTTTAAAACATAAGCCCATTTACTCTTGACTTTGGCCATGTCAGGGAATCTTATGTTCACAGCATCGTTATCGATGGTCCACTGAAAAAGAAAAACGATTACAAAAATTATACCAACAAAAATAAAAAAAAATTGTGATTGAAAACTAAAAATGTATAAGAATATTTATTATTTGGAATAATTTTAATCAAAATAATTTTCACGAAATTGTATCCAATGACATTAAAAAAATATTTGTTTCTACACCCACATATGGATATTAGCTTATCTATACGCATAAACTACAAAACGAAAAAGTATGTCATTGCGTTCAACTGAAGGAATATATTTTATATCCATTCTAGGTAGTGAGAACACTGCAAAAAAATGAAATACACCAATCACAGTTCATATTTTGGACACCCCTACTATTATTTCAATATATCGTCAATATATATTTTTTAGTTATTGAAATTAAATATACATTAAAATGTTATTTTTGTGCAGAATCGATAAATAATAGCATTTTATTTGGTCCATATTTTGAAAAATAAATTTTAATCAAACTATATGAAACTATTTTAATTACGAATATTAAAACCAAAATCCTAAAAGTATCCATGGACGCGAGGATAGGTTACCCAGACAACACACCAAATCCCAGAGATATCCGCAGAATATCTTTTGTGGATATCCAATATATCCGCAGGATATCAGAAATATTCCGTGGATCTAATGTGGATATCCAAATGTCCGTCTATATCCAGGATATAGAAGATATCCTAATGGATATTCAGCAAAATATCTAATGGGTATCTTCCAGAAAATACAAGAAATCACAGAGATATCCACAGAATATATTTTGTGAATATTCAATAGATCCAATATGGATATCCAACCAAATGTCCGTCTATATCCCAGGATATAGAAGATATTCAGCAAAATATTTTATGGGTATCTTTAGTAGAGGTTCATAAGTAACCAATGATTATTGAATAACGTCGAAAGAAAATAGTAGAGATAAAAAATATTTTCAACACTCAAAATATTTTCAACACTCTGCCTTTGATTTTACCCACTAAGGAGAAATTCATCCTTATTAGGACTCTTCAGCAATAAATGAAAATTCTCGACTTCAGTCTCTAATGGAGTGGTTAGGACACACATTTCGATCGAACTCAATTACGGCGGGTCGAGCATGAGTAGATGCGATAGTGGTATCGCCATCTATACTTAGTAAGCAGAATCAAATAACATCTAGTGGATATCCACGATTATTTGCGTTCGTGTCTAGACTTTGATATATTTAGTGTATGTTCATGGGATATTGAATTCACCTTAAAAAAATTAATTTTAAATATCTGAACGGTACTATTAGCCACAATGGCGAGCACAATGGCGTAATTTTTAATAATTTGCTATATAATTACTATTATTTATGGACATTTGCATGTCTATAAATTACATTTCATGGATATAAAATAGATATCTACCATGGACTGGACATTCAGTGGATATTGAGATGTTCAGTAGATATCCAAAGGATTTGGTGTGCTGTCTGGGTAGGTTGCCTTCCACGCGAAAAGCCCGGTATCGAATCTCGGCTGGGGACTAATTAAATTCCATGTTTATTTTATAAATCATTAAAATTCATCAATTATTTTAAAATTAGTTATTTTGTCATAATAACCTTAAATATTTTTTTAAATTTTTAGATTTTCGTTAGTGGGTCGTAGAAAAAACAACAACAACTTGAGTGAATTGACCATATCCACTATTGTTGCACAAACTACTATATTGCTGTAAGTATTGGAATTTTTTTCTACTACATTAAATCAATAAAAACAATAGCAGTTTAAACATGTAAAAAATGGACGTCTGAGGCTAAAAAAAAATTGTTTACAAGTAAATTTATCTCTAAACTCCAATAAAAAAACAAATTGCAAAACCCACAGGTTCTAGCAGGAATATAACCTGGGACAAGAGCAAATCTAAGCCAATCCAAGGGTATTGCCATTACTTATTCCCTTTTAGTATATTTTTTTATTAAAAAACTCATTGATTGTAAGAATTTTATCCGGGTGCCATGACCTCCATGCCCCCTCACCCTCTGGAGCTGCCCGTGACCTGGGATCTATAGCATATCATGCTATCGCATTAACTTTTTGACAATCAGAGCATAAGCATCTTCCTCCCAAAATATAAATTTGAATTCAACAATTTAACAATCCAACAATTCAACAATTTAACCATTCAATAATAATTCATCCATTCAATAATTCAACAATTTATAATATCAGAATATTCATTATATACCAATCTAAAAATTCAAAAAATCATTAGTATACCTTTAGTATTCCATCTTCTTCATTTCCTAGCAAATTTACGACAGTTTTGACATTTCGAAAGAATTTTAAGGGAGATTTTAATGAAAGAATATTATCCTTGGGCCATTTCAAGGAAATAGCATAAAAAACTGAATCTTTGCTTGTATACCAAACGGCTGAAGTCAAAGTATCATTTTGAACGATCCATGGTTTTGTTCCATAAATGGCTTCTCCGTTTATTTTCAGCCATTGACCCATTTGTTGTAAACGTTCTTGAAAGATTGGAGCTATTATTCCATCTTTTGTTGGGCCAACATTCATAAGAAGGTTGCCTGAAATGAATAAATAGATAAAATCGCTATTTTACTGAAATATATTTTTAAAATAAAATATACTTACCTCCACAACTAATTGTTGACGCAAGTTCACTAAGAAGTTCTTCAATTGTAAAAAAATCAGAAAGTTTTGCATTTCTTCTAAAACCCCATGATTGTTTATCTATAGTCATAGCATTTTCCCATTTATGTTTTTGAAGGGTTCCTGTAAGCAAATAGGATTAACAATATTATAGGTAAAGTAGAACTCAAAAGTATAATTCCGAATTCTATCATTTCGGCGAGACCGCTAAAAATGAACATTTTAAACTATTACTATACATTTTGTAAGAAAAATATTTGATCTTACCAGGATTGTATCTATCCTTGCAGGAATAAATATCGCCATGTTTGCAGGAAGTACCCATTCCCCATCTATCATTAGTTACAATCTCATCTTTAACAGGACTATCATTATACAACCAAGCCAAAAATTCTGTGGACTTCCAGTAGGTGTCAGGAGCTTCCCAGTCGCCATCAGACCATAACACTGACGGTTGGTAATTATTTATAAGTTCCATCATCTCAGGAATCATTTTGTTATTTACGAATATTTGTTTGGTAAAATTGCTTGCTTTATCGGATCCGTACATTGGGTTAAACCATTCATAAAGGGAATGATATAGACCAAAAGTAAGATTATGAGATCTTACTGCCTTTGAAAGTTCATCTAAAATTGTAAAATATACATCGATTATAAAAGTTAGTTATAAAAAAGAAACACCAAACATTTAAAAAGCAAAGAAATAGTCAGTATTATTATATACGTAACTAGTATGGAATGTCCATTGAATGACAATTATTTTAATATATTAGTGAGATTATAAAGAAATATAGTTAGTCGGGTACTAAATTTTAACTGCAACTGCAATTGGTAGACTTCATATACTTAAACTATAAGTTACCGATTCTTCCTAAGCGAATAAGTTTAGTTAATAATAAATTAATGATAGCTAATATTTGAAAAAAAAATTACCAATAACATCTCTTCCGGGTCCTACATCAAGAGAATTCCAACTGTAAGAATATTTTGATGGCCATAAAGTATATCCTTCATGATGTTTACTGGTAAGAACAATGTACCTGAAAATATATTAAAACATTTACTATTTATTGCTTAGACAAACCCTGGAAATTTACAAGGCAATAATGTTTAGCCATAATAATAAACCTTTCCCGTTATTGATGATCTCTCTTACTCATGCGCAAAATCTATTTCTGCTTAAAATCATCAAAATTCATTATTCCAATTACACATCTGCAAATGTCATTTTGATTTTGCGTTTGATAGTATTGGTAGGGGAGCCAATGATACTTTTAGGTGTGTTATTTGTGAAAGGTAAAATTAGAAATATTTCGTTCATTCCTACCTTATAGAACATGGAAATAGTTTTAAAAAAGCCTGTGTAGAAAATGTCTTAAAAGCGCAAACTTGAAACTTTTATATATTATTTACATCAAAAGTTAGAAGAAAAAAGTTTGTTGCCATGTTCTTGGAATTCGACTCACAATACCTTTTTGCTTGTTGACAGGATATTTCACAGCTCGATTGCAAAAAAGTATTTCCATCTTCTACAGGGTAAGAATTGACGATACATTTATAATTTATCCAAAAAAGTTTCATGTTATTGTATAATATACGAGCAAATTGCCCCGGAACACCACGGCAAATAATAATAGTCACCCCACTTCGAGACAAGCTCTGATATCAAAGCTTTAGGAGTTCACTGGTAAGGGATAAGAGAATTATTATTCCGTATTATTACTAGTCGACAAAAATAGTTTGCTAATTAGACCAAAAATGGTATAGTTTGTTCTCTTTCTAAATGTAAGAAATAATCCTAATCTACGAAAATAACATATTCAATTAATAAAAAATGTACGTACCTGGCTCCAGAATCAGCAAAAATGTTTGCCCATTCATTGGCATCAAAAAATTCTGCCTTAAAGTCTTTAGCAAATTCTTGATAAGTAAATGTTTCCGGATAATTATGTTTCATATAATCGATATATTCCGATGATTTACCTAAGGTTTAAAAAATAGAGTAATTAAAGTCCATTTGTTTACATAACTAAAATATACGTACAAGGTTGGTAATATGGGCCTAATTTCTGCCTAAATTAAAAGTTGTGAGTAAGATAAAAGTACCAGAAAATGTTTTAGAAATATGACTAATATTCAAAAATTCGTGATTTAAATTGTTCGGTTCAACAGTGCTCCCTCCATACGCGTGGATAACTGCAGCCAGAGCTGGGCAGTATTTATATTTGTAAATACTTTTAAGTATTTAAATACTAAGTATTTAAATACTTTTGGGTGAGCGGTATTATTTGTATTTGAAGCTGCAACTACTTTCGTAAGTATTTAGTATTTAAATACTTTTTTAAAATATTCTAAATACTTTTTAAGAATTTAAATAATTTTCCGGTATTTAAATACGTTTCTGATATTTAAATACTTATATTTAAATACATTTCAAGTATTTAAATACTTTCCGATATTTAAATAACTTTTTACGTCAAAAATAAAAACATATGTTTTAACAAGTTTCAACTTGTTATTAAACCAAACGTGCGAAATAGTCTGGATGAAATGCTGAAGCATCAGTTCGTATTTAAGCGTTAGAGAAGATGCTTCATTGTGTTAGTTGTCAAGTTGTGACTGTTGTAATTTGTGTTACAGGAAAAAAAATAAACCAAGATAAGTATTATTATGATTTGTGATTTTACACAGTAATTAAAAAATGTTACAGGTATAGATGGTCAGTTAAAAGTCTATGCAAGAAAGGATATTATAATTCCAAATAAATCTGCGTAGTTTAAATCGCTATACAGATACACTGAACTGAACAAGAATTTACTTAAGAACTAGCTGACCCGGCAAACGTTGTTTTGCCATGTATATTATTTCTAGGAAACATTTTTTACTTTCCTATCTGTATACAGATATAAGGAAAGTATAGGAATCATGATTTTTTTCGACCTCGAGTTTTCGACGGATTTTTACGTTTTGAGGTCCCCTGAATCCGTTTTGACTATTTTCGCGATGATGTCTGTGTGTGTGTGTGTGTGTGTGTGTGTCTGTGTGTGTGTGTGTGTGTGTGTGTGTGTCTGTATAACGCATAACTCATGAACCGATACACGGAAAAACACCAAATTTCAAACTTAAGCTTTCTTCCAGCGTCTAATGAGCTGATTAGATTTTGGGCAGAGTCGGAACATCTGGGGGGGTACTTTATAGGTGGTCATTTTTATATTTTATGGAATATATCTGTTATTTACGTTTGGGGAAGAAAATTCTTCAAATGAAAGTTACTTCTTATTTTATTATCTATAATTTTTGTAATATACAAAATTTTCCTAAAATGGTCCGTATTCGCGAAATTTGACAAAATGTAAAAAAATATTTTTTTTTATTAAAATTGTTCAAACAAAAGTTGTTTGTAATATAATTCTCTATAATTTTTATCCTATAGATAATTTCTCTAAAATGGACCGTATTCGAGATATTTGAGAAAATGTGTAAATTTCGAAATTTGAAGAAAACTCAAAAACGGATAAAGAAAAAAACATTAAATTTTAAACTTATTTCGGCCTGACGTGAAATGATTAGATTTTGGACAAAGTCGGAACATCTGGGGGGGTACTTTATGGGAGGCCGTTTTTATATATTATGGAATATATCTGTTATTTATGTTTGGAGAAAAAAATTGTTCAAATAAAAGTTACTTCTAATATTATTATCTATAATTTTTGCTTTATGTAAAAATTTTCTGAAATGGTCCGTATTCGAAAAATTTGACAAAATGTGCAAAATTCTGATTTTTATGAAAATTGTTGAAATAAAAGTTGTTTGCGATATCGATCTCTAGAATATTTGTTCAAACATGATTTTTTTAAAATGGACCGTAATGGAAAAATTGTAGGAAAAGTACTAAATTTAAATTTTTCAGTATTTTCATTTTCAATGAATATCTATAGAAAAATGTTTCGCGGTAGATGTGGACAATGTATATATTTAGTTTATCCTCTAAACATTTATAGAGATGCTGCAATAGGTTGTACAAAATAACCGGAAAAAGCCTGTAATAACTAGATAGGAAAGTCATGTGTTGGACACATCAGATTTTTTAGTTCAATAAAAATAATTATCTACTATAAGTGTGCGGGGATGTACTTATAATCGAAAGCGTTGTAAACAATGAAAGTATGCTTAATTTAGGTTAATAAATTAATCTTTATTGAAGTACCGAATATATTTTAAATTACAATTCTTGATAGCTATCTAAACATCAAAAATAATTATTCATATTTGTACTATCACGATTGCACAGTTCAAAAAATTCGGTGAGCGTAGTTTTTGGTGGATTTATAGCACGATCAAGCGCTGTATCGTTCGTGAAATATACGCGCTGGCCGTTTTCAAGATGGACAACTAAATGGATAAATGCTGGATCCCGTTCATGAATTGGGAAACCGAAAATACGATAGACAGTTTCATTGGAACTGATATACCGGCCAATTTGGTAATCGTAATTTCATCATTTTGATTCAACGGAGGGGCATTTACATTAGTATTTTCAATTCTAAATACAGCCATATCACTTCCTTTATTCACATACTTGCAATTATATTTGATATTCTTCACCGAACTGCATGACTCAACATTAATATGAGCATTGAAGTTTTTGCTCAGCAGAGTTGAATATGTTAACTATAAAGTTTTTAATTAACAAATAAAAAATGAGGGTTGATCGTAGAAGGGTGAAAATCAAGGGTTGTATGTATATTTGTATGCTGTATCATAAAAAAATACAAACAAAAAATTTTGTTTAAAAAATAAAAAAAAATTTAGGGGTGGATTACCTTTAACATTTAGGGAGTTGAAAACTAAGGATTGTATGTATTTTTTAATGCCACATAATAAAAAAATAAAATTTTTTTTTATCCAAAAATAAAAAAAAAAATTGGGTGCACACCCCTTATCACTTAGGGGTTTGAAAGATAGATACTAGCCGATTCTCAGACTTACTGAATATGCATAAAAAATTTCATAAGAATCGGTCGAGCCGTTTCGGAGGAGTATGGGAACGTCAACGAACATTGTGACACGAGAATTTTATATATTAGAAGATTCTGTTGTAAAAAATGACAAGAGTTAAGGACGAAAAATGGCAAATACAAGAAAAATTATTAAAAGCAGTACTTTTATCCCTTGAAATTTGTGCAGTTTTTAGACACCCTGTATATATCTGTTAACATAACAAATTTTTAAACGTACTGAAAGGATTAAATAATATTTTTTCTGTTGTATTTATTAGCTATGTACTCTAATCTTGGTGTTAGGCCTTTAAGAAAATTACATAATTGTTTTATTATTATTTAAATACTTTTATATATTTTTATGTATTTATCCCAAACAAGTATTTAAGTACTGTAGGTATTTGTTATTTAAATACCTTTTGCTTTAAAAAAGTATTTAAGATTTATATAATCGTATTTATGAAAAAGTATTAAGTATTTAGTCCAGCTCTGACTGCAGCTTGACTTAAAATATTCACATATTATCAAACTTTAAATATAACAAAATTACAAATTAACAAATAATGATTTATCATTATAATCAAGTAAAACGTAACTAATCAGTAATCACTAAAGACCGGACATTTTAATCGCGTTCAAATAATTGGTTTTAATCACATAGGCGTCTCATTCTGGGTTCGCTATTTAAGACGGCAGACAGTGCGGCAGATTCTAATACTATCAGGACAAACCTCTTTTTTTTATTAAAACAAGATAAAAAAAGTGTACTGATATATACATAGACATTAAAACTAATACAAAAAAGTGAGATTTTTTTTTATCGTGTACCTATATTCTTTGTCTTTTGAATCATTTTCATTAAACAAATTTAATGTTTTCTTCTCACCAACGCCGAGGATATGTAGGATATTTTACAAAAGTTTTTAGTAACCTCAGATCCTTTAATTTGTGGCCTGAGAAATTTTCCTTAAAAAAAAATAACTTTTTTGATGAAGATGTTAAACTTTTCATAAGCGAGTTTAAGGTGTAGTAATGTAAACGATATTCTGTATGATATTTTTTTTATTATTATCTCTTATATAATTACAAAATATCTATTCCTCAATATTTTGGCGTGGTACACTACTCTCCTGCCTAAAATGAGGATCGAGGACCCCAGCTGCCTCCCCCGAATTTGTTATTTCCTCCAGAAAATTGGAAATTTCTAGCCTTAGCTGGTCCCGATTCATTGTTGGAGAAATTGCATCGGGGCCAAATATTAGGACTCTACGAGCGTTTGGACTAAGACGCTGTAGAGAGGGCCTAAAATGAATGTCAAATAGGCCCATCATATGTTGTCTTATACTTTCTCGATCCATTGTCGGTTAGTTGCCGGTGATATTTTTATTCAAATAAAGTCAATCCTTATATTATATTTATGAATATTTTGGCTTTTATCGATACCGTACATACCGATTTTTTGTAACAAAACATTTATGTTTTTATTTCCTGTGGATATTATGGTACTTATACACGATGAGACAATAAAATAAATGTCTGTTAAATTTCTGTAATGTATGTATTAATTCAATTGCTCACTCTATATAGGTATCTGTTGGTTGAAAAAATGTAAAAAGATAACAAAGAGTCGATAAACAGGAGATTTGAGAAGAAAGTGTCTTGTAAAAATATCACTAGATTTTTCCAATGAGTATATTTGTTTAGTTCAAAGGGAAAAGTGATAGAAACTGGAAACGTAAATATGGAAAATTTATTATCGGACTTTGATTGTTTTCGTCGTTTTAATGACAACAAATTATACTGCCGCAATTGTGATCAGGTGTTAGTTTTTAATGGAAAGTCAAGTATGACACAACATGTGAAAACACAAAAACACATGCAATCTTTAGAGGGATGTCCAGACAAAATCTTTTATGAAGATTTATGCAACGCATTTGTTTCTGCAAATATTCCATTAACAAAATTAAATAATACAATTTTCAAAAATTTTCTTTGTAAATATACTAAACGTAAAATACCGGATGAATCCACAATTAGAAAACATTATATTCAAAATCAGTACGATAAAGCAATGACGGCAATAAAAACGAAAATTTCCAGCAAATATATTTGGGTTAGTGCAGATGAAACGACTGACATAAAGGGTAGATGTGTTGTTAATGTTGTTGTAGGATTATTAAGTGCTGAAAATACTTCACAACAGTATTTAGTTTCTAGTGTGTTTCGTGAAACTGTGAACGCTGAAATGATTTATGAAATAGTGAAACGTGGATTGAACAATGTAATTGATAATGACGTTTCAAAAGTTTTATTGTTTATTTCAGACGCGGCAAGTGTAATGTTGAAAACAGGGAAACTATTACAAGAACATTTTCCAAACATGCTGCATGTAACTTGCCTTGCTCACGCGTTACACCGAGTTTGTGAGTTTATCCGTGACAGCTTTCCAGACATTAATTCGTTGATTAGCTGTTTTAAAAAAAATTTGTTAAAAGCACCGTCCCGAGTTTCTTTATATAAAGAAATATGTCCGAATATCCCCCTACCTCCACAACCAGTTATTACACGATGGGGAACTTGGTTACAGGCTGTGTTCTTTTTTTCGGAGCATTTCGACAGACTAAAAGTATTTATTTCCAACTTATCAGAGGACGCTCTCTCTATCACTCAGTGTAAAGGTTTAATAACAAAAACAACTTTGCAGTCGGAGTTAAATTTTCTTGCGACTTATTTTTCGTGTCTCCCAGAAACTATAAAATTCCTTGAAACCCGTAACTTACAATTATCGGTTGCTATGGAAAAATTTGAATCGACATTGTTACACTTAAAAAACGTAAAGTGGCCCTTACAAGATAAATTTAACCATAAAATAGATTGTGTTATTAAAAGAAATCCAAATTTACAGACTCTGAAACAAATCTCCCTGAACAATTTTAACGATTATGAAACTGCTTTAAAATATTGTGATTTTGTTCCACATTTTTCATTTGCTCCTGTAACGAGTTGTGACGTAGAACGATCGTTTTCTAGGTTTAAAGATTTATTGACTTCTAAAAGAAGTAATTTCACTGAAGACAATTTAGAAAAATATGCAGTCATACAAACATATTTTTCAAATGAAGAAGATTGATATTAATTTGTATTGTATATATTGTATATAATTGTATATTTGCTACTTTAGGATAAAGAGTGTATATTGGAACACTCTAAACATAAAACTAATGATGGTGTATCCTCGTTGATATATTTATTAGTCAATAATATATTAACAGAAAAAGCCAACAACATTATCCCACAACACAATAAAAAAATAAATAATAATATCATTTGTAATTATATAATAATATCCAACCAAATTTGAACTAAAATTTAATAAAATAATTATTGCAATGTAAATGTAATAATAAGCCCGCCCCAAATGTTACGCCCGGGCGATAAAAATCCAATATCTTATCTACTGTGTCGACCAGTTCAGTAAATAACTTGTTTTATTCAGAATGTATTATTCAAATCGAAGGTCCGCTCTTACCGTTACTTCGCTGATAAGAATAAATTAAATTGTCCGGTCTTTAGTAATCACACACACCCTTAGACACTCGCAAAAAATTGAGTGTATGGCCAGCTATTTAGAATCAATCTGACCAGCCGGCAGCGCGGCGGCTACGACTGGGACTGGCCGACTGTACGTCAGAATTGAAAGGAAAGATAAATCGAAATTAAATGATTTGAGGTTAAGTTTTTTAAAATTTACTATTTTTCATACCTTTCCAACTAGACCAAAACCATTCGGATCCAAAGCTCGGTACAGAAAACACTCCCCAATGGATGAAAATTCCAATTTTCGCATCATCATACCACTTCGGTAAAGGTCTAGTGTCTAAACTTTTCCAATTGGGTTCGTATTTTCCAGATGAACCACAAACACAAAATGTGACAGTCAATATAAATGAAAGTTTATTCATTATTAGTTTAGTTTTGCATCGAAACTAATTAAGAAATCACTTTGTTTTCAGTAAAATCCATATTAATAACTTTTGATAACCGATTACCATATCAATTGAAAAACAATAACAAGGATTAATAGAACGTGTGCGCACACTCTCATTCGCAAAAATCGCAAAGCATCAAATTAGTCAGTGGGATGGCTTACAAATTGATATTCGCGAAAAACCAGTTTCATTAAATATTTATACTTTTCAGGTACTTACATACATTTATACATTACGAAATTAAGAATATTTACAGTTTTTATGACACCGCAATACATTTTTTTTATTTGATTATAATACCGTTTATAGTTGAGGCGACCGATCTGTACCTCAGCGTGTAAATAATATAAGTACAGATGAAATAAATTAATAATTATTACTCAAAACAATTGCCTGATATGAAACTAAAAAATAACATACAATTATCCAACCAATACGATTACGGTTTTTACATTAACCTACAAATAAAAAATTATTTAATCCTTAAAAAAACTAATAGTTTTTTAAATCCCGTTGTGGGATAAAAGGCAGTATCTTGAAATAAGATGAGTGTATTCAATTAAAGCTCTTCAAATATTATCACTTGAATTTACAGCATAGGCATATATCACAAAGATAATATAAGACAGAAACAATCTCTTAAGTAATTAATTAATAATTAGGACACGGCAGGTAACATAATTGCCTTAAAAAAAAATTGAATACAAAAGCTAAGATGGAGGAATACAGTGAATAACGGTTTTGACTAGATTAAAATGTTATATAATACACTATAATTATAATCCTTTTCACTAGAAGTAAACCTCGTATAAATTGTTTTAAAAATATTTTTGTTTTAAAAAAAGTATCATTTTACATTAGTTATGTGTTTCCAAAAAAATTAAATGACTTGTTACATTATAAAAGTAGTTATAAACTGTCTGACATAATTCACCCTGTATAAGCTCAGATGTATTATTTTTTGTCAATTAATTGCTCTCATGAAGTGTAGTAAACGATAACATTTTTGTCCGAATTTATTTTCAAATACCAGAGTGGCATTACTAACGGGGCACTGCTTGGTGAAACACCTTCATGTGATGGGATTACACAATGTCCCACTACGTGCATGGAAGAGGAAGAAACCTCATATCATGTGATCTTCTAATGCGAAGCTCTTACTAGGCGACGTTTTATCCTTGTCGGCCTAGAACCGGAAAGAACGCCTCAGGAACACTTGGTAGGGAATCTATTAAAACTAACCAAAGACTATTCCAAAGATAGTACCTGAATACGGGGAAAGCAGGGGAATACAATAGACCCAAGAGGCCGCAGTGTTCTGGGCCAAACCTAACCCTACCTGCTTACAACCGATAAAGATAAAAAAGAGTATTTAAAATGTAACAAATAAATTTAATAGCGTTTATTTTTTTTTTGTTGAATTTAAAACAATGTTCAGAAATGCCTCCCATAAGTAAATTTGAAGGAGGTATGATAGTGGGTCTACGGAAGGCTGGGATGTCATTTCGGGAAACTGTAAACAGGATTGGCCGGAATGCTACAACAGTGGTCTATAAATCATCACCATACACGTCGAGGGGCACTGAGCCTTTAAGAAGAACCACTTATTACGCAGATCCTGAAGAACGCCTCTTAAGAATTAGTGCCCTAAAAGACCGTTTCAGTACAACCAGCGACATCGGACATGCCTTTTAGAGTACCTACGGGTTGACAGTTAACAATGAGAACAATTTATCGACGAATTAGGGCTTATGGACTACTGTTTTCGACTCGTATTGCCATTGACCGTCATAGACAGCTACAACTGACATGGTATCAAGAACAGGCTCAATGGAATGAGGAGTGTGATCGGATTGTTTTCAGTGATGAGTTGCATTACTGCTTGTGGGCTCATGATGGTCATAAAATAGTCAGGCGAACACGACGAGAAAGGCGCCAGCTTCAATTTTGCGAGACTGAGCTAATTAGAGACGTTATGATATGGGATGCCATAGCAGTTGGAAGCAGGTTACCTCCAGTATTTTTAGACAGAAACACGAACGCCCAGTTCTACATTAATAACGTGTTACAACCTGTTGCGTTGATATACCTTCAGCAACTGCAAAACATATTTCAGCAATATAACGCCAGACCAGATACCGCTGCAGTTTACAGAGGCTTTCTCTGACAAGCTAATGTAACCACTATTCCATGGTTTGCAAAGTCACCTGACATATCGCCCATTGAACATGTATGGAATATGATAGGTGTAGAAGGCTCGATTGATTGCAAGCTCTTATTGTTGGAAATTGAGTATTAGTGACTCAAGTTACTGGTACTCCGTATTGTTGATGTATTTTATTTTCTTTTTGTTTAATCTTGGTTTGAAAAAAGTTATGACTTTTATAATTTTTGTGAATTGTCTATATATTTTTATATTAAATAAATAAGTCTTCCCCCTCACTATTTGTCGTATTTGTCGTTCTCTATCAACCTGGTGTTAGGTAGTTGCACAAGCGCAACACTTATATTTGATGTAGACCGACTACGTTACGAGGTTAGATTAGCCTGGGAAAATATATCTCAGGCAGCTTGCCACCAAGAGTTACAGAGTGTCAAAATTATAAAGGTGCAACTCACTACTGATTTTTAAAGAATTGCTGTGTTTGAATATTCACATCAAATGCATCTGAAATGTTGTAAATCTTTGATCACGTGATTCAATATAGGTACGTAAATGTAGTAGGACAGAAGTGTCCGATGTGGGCAAATAAACGTTCGAGATGTAAAAAATGCATCGGATGTGGATATTCAATCGCAGCAAATACCTTTCAATAATTTTTCATAATTTGATCGATTATTATTCCTATTTATCCCAATAACTTCCCAAAATATTAATAAAATATATTCACATTTACTGGGTGTTGCAATTTCAATCACACACGGTATAATTGCACTTTAAAAACAGTGGCGGCTCGTGAGCACTAGCGGCAGTGGGGCACACACTGGAAAGGAATCCCGGGATTCGTTTTTCCCTTAGGAAAACAAGTTCTCCGCTTAATGAAAATTAAATATATTTCAAAACAAATTAAATATTACAAAATTGAAGACTAACTGCTAGGTACCGCTGCAGTTGTATACTATTTTTTATAGTTGAAGTCCACTCTTCTGGATTTTTGGCTAGCGAAGTGATCGATGACCAGATTATTAAAATTTGGAATGAACCGAATAAGTTTTTTTTCGATGGATAACATGGCTAACGCGCACAATCTTTCTTGGCACATAGTGTTCCTTAAAAATGTTTTAATACGTTTTAGTGTCGAAAAACATCTTTCACTCTCCACTGTGGTCATGGAAATTGTACACAGGATAGTTTGCAGCTCCACAGATTCCGAAAATGTAATTGTAAAATTGTTCTCAAAAAACATTTGTAATAACGGTACGGCCCCATTGTGTTACACAAAGTCATCTCGAGTGTAAAGTATGGACAGTTCGTTTTTTAATTTTAAGCTGTTTACGTTTGGAAATAAACTACACACAGTTTTAACGTCCTCGGTAGTCTTTCAATTTTTCACTATCAAATAAACTTGAATTGTTAGGTGGGTAGTAAAACTAAAACGTTCATTTACCTGCACTACTATTGTATCACAAATTTCCTTACATATCATTAAACGATGACGCACCGTTTAAAATATTTTGTACGGAATTTCCCGCAGAATTATTATTAGTGAAAAAACAATTATAAATCACACTTATCAAACGGATTACGGAAATTTACGGCTCCAAAATATCAACAAGCAGCGCTAATTGAAGGTAAACCAATAAACCGAACCATCGGTACAGCACGTTACGATGAGGACAGCGCCACCGCATCTCTTCATCTCTTGCTAAGCGATATTGTCGTTGTCCTTGTTTTTCGCGTTATAATGAGAGAGAAAACAACAGAGGCACACATCTACTGTGCCCTGTGCCTATCTTCCACTTAATTTCGGCATTCTCGGAACGTCGCTCAACGCGTGGTCGTCCAGTGTCGTGCCAACGCGGTTTGCGCTGAATATTAGATAAAATAATAATAGGCATTGATGAAAATATAAAATATGTAAGTTATTATTTTTTTTGGTTGCCCAAGTGACCTTACGGGCAAACCGTCACTGTTTAGAAAATTCTTCCTAATAAACTATAAAATGATAGAATCTTACTTTCCGTTACTATTAACATTCAGCTTACATACTATAAAATGATACTCTCGCACTTTGGATTCTGTATACTTAAACTTCAAGCATAGCCGCTTTAAAATAATACAATAACAGTTTTGAGTGGGTACATTAAACCTACCCACCATAAAAATGACAAAATCGCACTTTGGATACTAAACTTGAAGATAAGTACCTATTAATTATAGGTACATTACCTACCTATATAATTTTATTAACAAAACAGAGAAATATAATTATTTAAAAATATGTATGAGATTGCACAACAAATAAATCTAGAGGAAAAATTATTATTTACTATTAAAAATAAATACTAAATTATTAGAGCTTTTCTGCTTTGATGGTTTGCTTGTTTCAAAATGACTAATATACCTAAAGATTGTTTTTAATTTGTTTGTTTTAAAAAAATTGAACAAGTGTCCCGAGATATTACTTTATCCAGACTAGACTTGATGCAACTGGTATGAATTTTGATGCAAAATAAATTATCTAACTGCTCGGAATATAGAGGAAAATTTAAACACTGTTTTTTACTTTTTAATAGTTTTATTAATTTTTGTGCAATTTTTTAGAAACATTGTTGAAACTATAAAAACACCATTAAAACAGAATATTATGTTAAAAGTATTAGTTAAGTGCGTTTGGACTCAATTTTTAATAAAACTTAGTAACATTTTATTTCACCACTGCAGTTATCTTTAATTTCATCTAAACGCACTTTTTGGTTGTTTAAACGAAACATTTGGTTGTAATATAAATATGTACTCTACATCATGACTTCAATTCTTCTAAAAAATTAAATCGTCTAAAAAATAATTTGTGTATGGATTCGTTTTAACATCAATTTGAGGTCTCCTAAAATAAAAAAAAAAAGTCGGGTAAAAATTTAATACAAATCAGCAAGAAATAAACAATCTCGCTTCAAATCTCTAATGGAAAAAGGGTCTTGAATGAAACCATTGTATTTGTTTGAAATATCTTTGTGCATATTAACAAATCCAAGATAATCATTCTTGCGGAAAAAAAATTGTGTTGATTAAATATAAAGTAAACCTAATCCAGTAAATCAAAATTTACCGTATAACTTTTGTAAATCTAATTATTTACTTAATAATATTGAAACTTTATGTGATTTATTTTAAACAAAACTCTTTGTTATGATGGGTAGACTCCAAAGAAAATTAAAAAAACAAGGAAGCTGTAACTGTACTGATCTTTGTATCAACTCTATTTGTCTTAGAACAACTACGGTAAACAACACTGTTTCGCAAGTACGATTTGCACTTTTAAAATTATAAAAACTAAATAATGTTACCTGATCACTATCTCTTTGTTGTTCTTTATCTAATAAAGGCTTAAAGCTAGTACTGCTTTCATCTTTGTTGAAGCCTGTATCAAAGCTTGTTAAGCTTGTAGAAGAATTAGCTTTGGTTAATAAAATCTTAGGCGATTTTTCCCTCTTGGTTTCGAAACTGCAGGTCAGAGGAATATATTTTTTTGGTGAAGTTTCAGATCCGTCGTCTCGTCTAAAAATGTCTTGAAAAAATTTGAATGGTGAATTTTTTCGGCTCGTTTTCAACTTGTAGTACAATTCGTCTTCAGTCACTAGAGACACTCCTTGTTTATTATTACTTGGCACCTAAAAATTATTTACTAGTATTTTATAGATATTTATATATTTTGTGTTGCAATATTTTCTTTTTTCGAAGATGAATCGAAAATATAAATATGAATATTTCTTTAAATAACAAAATGGGCATGGGCAATGCTATTAACACCATTAAACAAGTTTTTATTGTTGTTTTATTGTGATATTTTACCAATATATGTTATTGCTATATGTTATTGTTATAAGTATTTTATTGTTATACATATTTTATTGTTATATATTATTGTTATATTTTATCATTATATTTTATTGTTATATTTTTAGAATATTTTATTTGTCTAAAAAGCTTTTTCATGCACGTAGCAGATATTATAAAAGAATGAATTTTATTATACAAAGCAGAAACATTTTCACTTGCTGTAGTTAGGAATCAAATTATACTATAAATAACTACATTTAGCTTTCAATATACAGCAACTAAATTATTTTGATTAAAAAATAACAGCCAATAACCTATAAACAAGCTTTGATAGCTATTTCATTCCAATAACGTAGTTTCATCAAGACCAGATAATACGAGTATATCCATGCTAATTTTACTATTACCTTTCCTTTATTGAAGATCGATTAGAAGAAATAATATCTTGTTGGATTCATTGACATCTTACGGCTTAAGTATACTGTATTTTTAATGAGTAAAATTTCACATGTTTGGTTTTTGAAACATTTATAAAATCAAAGTAATATAAAAATCTATAAGCTGACAAGAATCCAACGTACAAAACTAACGTGTTTTGTATAGTCCGTTATTATCATTTCATTTACGGATTAACCTAAAAATATAATTGTGAAAGAGGATTTTTTTAACAAGATAATTACTTGTTATATAAGTTTTATTTTGTAATTTTGATCATTGAAGAAAGAAGGCTCTTTATGTGTTTTGTCCAGTTTGCAGATATTCGGCTAGCGTCTCGGCTGTGGTACGCTTCTGGACTCAACAATAAAATTCATCTTCCATTCCTATACTAGTTAGTATTGTAGTTACTACTGTAATTATTATTGCAATTATAGTAAAAGTAAATGTTTTTATTCCATTTGATTTCTAATAATTTATGTTTAAGATTGTGCTTTCTGTATCTTTAAGATGAAAAAGGTGGGTTACTCCACAGTACTTAGGTCTCATTATGCCCATTGTGCATCATCCAGGGTCATACAAGACCTGTCCTTTAACTTGTCAAAAACCTGCTGGTTATCACTGAGAGGTGTCTAGAAACAGCCAGACTCCCAGCTCATCAAAATCCTGCAGGTTACCAACTTGTAAAAAGCCTGCTGATTATCACTGAGAGGTATCTAGAAACGGCCAGATTCCCAGCTCATCAAAGTCCTGCAGGTTATCAACTTGACAGAAACCTGCTGGTTATCGCTGAGGGGTGTCTAGGGATAGCCAGTCTTTCAGGTCAGATAACAACGCCGAGAGGTGTCTCTAGATGCCCCATTTTTAGAAGTGGCCATCACGATGGCAAATACCCAGGTAAAGCCATTATGTCCGCCTCTTTCACAAGACACTTATTGTTCTTCCATTAAATTTAAATTGACCATGTTTAATAACATTTCTGTTTAACTTATGGCACAAAAAATAATAGATACTCACCTGTAATGTATTAGGACTTGTTGCATTTTGGTCATTAAACGGCGATTTTAATATTTTATTTACGTCTATAAGATTTTCAGGTTTAACTAGGAAAGATGGGCGTCTACTTCCACAAGTAGATGGTGTTCTAGCTTGAATTTCTTGATTAAGATCATGCGTTGTTTGTTTTTTTCTCCAGTAGTTCTTTAATACTTGCTTTAATGGTTTGCTTTTAACACCATAAAGAAAACCATTTACAGAAACCGATAGAAGGAGAAGACTGGAAGATATTGCATAAAAATTTGAATTTAGATAATATTCGTAGATCTTTTTTGTGCTTTCACTGAAAAAATAATAAATTTATATTTTGTATACCTAAATTTAATATCTCAGACTGCTATAAATTAAGTTTGTTACGTTGCCATTCTAGCAAATAGAACATCTGGAAAAAGAGGTAAGTATATGCGAGGATGAAATAAACATAAACGATAAAAATCTGATGTGTTCAACACATGACTTTCCTATCTAGTTATTATAGGCTTTTTCCGGTTATTTTGTACAACCTATTGCAGCATCTCTATAAATGTTTAGAGGATAAACTAAATATATAGATTGTCCACATACATCTACCTCAAAACATTTTTCTATAAATATTCATTGAAAACGAAAATACTGAAAAATTTAAATCTAGCACTTTTTCATTACGGTCCATTTTAGAAAAATCATGTATAAACAAAAATTATAGAGATCGATATCGCAAGCAACTTTTATTTCAACAATTTTCATAAAAATCAGAATTTTGCACATTTTGTCAAATTTCTCGGATACGGACCATTTCAGAAAATTTTGACATAAAATAAAAATTATAGATAATAATATAAGAAGTAACTTTTATTTGAACAATTTTCTTCTCCAAACATAAATAACAGATATATTCCATAAAATATAAAAACGGCCTCCCATAAAGTACCCCCCTAGATGTTCCGACTTTGTCCAAAATCTAATCATTTCACGTTAGGCCGAAATAAAATTTAAGTTTAAAATTTAATGTTTTTTTCTTTATCCGTTTTTGAGTTTTCTTCAAAATTCGAAATTTACACATTTTCTCAAATTTCTCGAATACGGTCCATTTTAGAGAAATTATGTATAAAATAAAAATTATAGATAATTATATTACAAACAACTTTTATTTGAACAATTTTTTTAAAAAAATATTTTTTTTACATTTTGTCAAATTTCTCGAAAACGGACCATTTTAGGAAAATTTTGTATAGAACAAAAATTATAGATAATTATATAAGAAGTAACTTTTATTTAAAAAATTTTCTTCTCCAAACGTAAATAACAGATATATTCTATAAAATATAAAAATGACCACCCATAAAGTACCCCCCAGATGTTCCGACTCAGCCCAAAATCTAATCAGTTCATTAGACGCTAGAATAAAGCTTAAGTTTAAAATTTGGTGTTTTTCTGTGTATCGGTTCATGAGTTATGTTATGCGACACACACACAAACACACACGCACGCACGCACGCACGCACGAACGCACGCACGCACGCACGCACGCATGCACGCACGCACGCACGCACGCACGCACGCACGCACGCACGCACACACACTCACACAGAGACATCATCGCGAAAATAGTCAAAACGGATTCAGGGGACCTCAAAACGTAAAAATCCGTCGAAAACTCGAGGTCGAAAAAAATCATGATTCCTATACTTTCCTTATGTCTGTATACAGATAGGAAAGTAAAAAACTAAATATATGAAACCAGCAAAAGAGAAAATAAAGAAACACCCCAAGATACAAATTGTTAATTTTGATGAAAGCACACTGAGATATCAAGTTTAGGTGAATAATAGTTTATTTATTTTTTTGATAATTTTTATTTTACCTGTTACCAAATACTTGTAGAACGGCTTCCGTCAAAATAATACAGTAATAAGGAACATATAATATTATAAAAGATCCAACGAATTGAAGCATATTATACGGGGCGCTATGAAACCTCGGTGTAGAAATGTGTGATGGTGGCGTACTCATTCTACCAAAGGACCATGAAAATGGATTTTTTTGATGCGTTATAGCCACTTGAGCGGAAATAGCTACTTGGTATATAGCGGAGGCTATTCTGTGTTTGTGGTATCGCGCTATAATGAAGATCTACAAAAAATAAAGGTTATTTAAAATGGTTTTATAAACATTTTTCTGTAATTTGGGAAATTAATGTTAACAGAATTTGTAAAAAATAACTTTCATATCTATCTTTAGCAAATTTTAGGCATATTTCTAGTATTTCATTATAACTTGTTCGAAAATTTTGGAAAAAGTAATTTTATGATTGAATTTAAATGTAAAAAATATTGAAAAGAAAATAGAAAATACTTTCCTAATGTTTTAATTAAAATTAAAAACAACTAATCTCCCTAACCTGTGCGGCCTGGAGTCATCACGAATTGTTTCGCAAAAAAATATACATAAAATAAGAAAAATACATAAAATAAGACAAGTTAAAAGGTATCATCAATGTAATTCGTAGATTGGTATGGTCTATCCATGGCAGGTCTATGAAATATGATTTTTGACAATGTACAATATGTAATCGAAGTAATCGAATAATCGAATAATCGAATAATCGAAATAATCGATTAATCGAAGTAATCGAAAATAATCGATTAATCTTAAATAATTGGATAATCGAAAATAATCGATTAATCTTAAATAATTGGAAAATCGAAAATAATTGATTAATCGAAAGTAATCGATTAATCGAGGTTCACTCAGGATGTACAGCAGCACATTTTTCTACATTAAGCTAACCAAATTCTACAAAATTTAAAAATTAATATAGAGTTTATTGAAATAAAATTACTATTTTAAAGATAACACAAAAATTGAAAACGATAAATTTTACTAATATATGAAATAAATCTGAGAAAAAACAAAAAATAAACAAAAACAAACAATTACAAAAAAAAAACAAAAAATGGCCTCAGTCGGGATTTAAACTCTGGTCATTCGAATGAAAATAATTTACCCAAACTGCTGAGATAATATCTTTTACATTTTTATAGCTTAAACTTTATTAATTGTTTTTTTTATTAAAATTATCAGTCTCTTTGTAAATATCTAGTGGATTGCCATTGTATTGATTCTTCACAAGAGTCACTTCATCTTTAATTGTATTTAATCTCAATAGATAATATACAAGTGGATGTAGAAAAGCGCATCATTATCATCATAAAAATTGTTCAATATAATTCAAGCTTAACTTACCTTAATATTGGAAATTATTATAAATGTGGCCGGTAAAAGTAGTGTAAACGCTGCATAAATCGTTGCGTACCACAAAATTTGAGGTTTTGAATTTATATTTGGTTCACATATACCAATACGAGGTATAAATGTATAAGGAATATCTACCAACACAGGAGGAGCACTGACCAAGATTGAAACCATCCATACTGCACCAACCCCAATCAGAACCTAAAAAATATGCAATAGAAGTTCACTAGCTTTTTTTAATTATTTTAGTAATTACATTTGATTTTCGATTACCCTAAAATTATGGTAGTGATCCTTTTCAAGGTCATACTAGTATATTACTTGCCATGTTACAAACCTATTACTTCTTATTCCTTCCGTTGGTGGTTTACTTATGTGACAGGCGAGTTCTTCAGTTAAGATTCGCTAATTTTGATAGCGTTATATTAACTGCTGGACTTCCCCAACTCTGATCGTTTTAGGACGGAGGAATCCTGTAAAGTTTGTATGGGTACCTTTACATAGGAGCATTGCCGTACTTTAAGAAGCTGGTAAGAAAAGACTGGTAAGCTTGCCTTTTACAGGGCCTGATATTATAAAAAAGTAGTGTGTAAAGTAAACATACAAAAGTTTCCAGAACTTTGCCTTTACCAATTGGATCCTGTCGACTTTAAACAAGTCTCACTAAACTCAACCATGGCCTTCATCAAAATGTGTGGTGGATTTAAGCATGCGCCACAATAGACCCTTAAGGGTGTCAGTATAAAGCGATTATATCATCCCACAACATAACCTAACAATATATCATTTTTTATTTCAATATGTCTTTATTTTCAATGCCTCATTTTCATTTTGAGTTTCGTCTCCTATCAAATTGTTTTCATATTGTTGTTATTTCATGATTTGAATAGCGAACTCTTCTGGTGATATTAAGGTTAACACTAATACATAGAGAATGAGAATATATTATTTGTTCCTATTATGAAAATACTGGGGTTCTCAAATCACAACAAAAAGTTTTTTGTTAAATATTTTTTTTTAATTTAACAAAAAAATTAATATTTTTGTAATCGCTAGTCTCAAAATGATCTACTTTACGCAGACAGTTGCATAATCTTCATTCATTGTCACTAGTTGTGAAAAGAAAACAAATAAAAATAAACCTTTTTAGTAATAAAATCAATATTATATTATTATTGATAGTTTATATCAAATAAGGGCAGGTTGACTTTATTATTATTATTATTTTTTGCAGATTTAAATTGGAAAATAAGGACTAAAACAACATTATTACTAATCAAATTTTATTTATATGTAGCCAACCTTCTCTCCTTTGATATAAACTTTCAATAATAATGTATAATGATTTTAAACCCAAAAAGATTTTCTATATATTTGTTGTTTTTTTTTTCGTAACCAGTTTCATAAGCCACTTTATGCAACTGGTTGCATAAAACAGATCATTTTGATCCTTCAATAATTACAAAAAAATATCAATTTATTTGTCAAAATTAGAAAAAAGCAAAGACTTTTAACCTTTGTGACGAGCCACTAGTAGTACCATAGATAATAGATATTCAAAAATGCATTTGCTCATTTGCACATACTTTATTAAAAATAAAACAAATAAGAATTGATAACACAGTATGTTAAATGGTTGGCACATAAAGCTAAACAATGTGTTATGAATTAAATTGTAGTTATTACTGTATGTATGTATATTATTGTGCAAATTATGGTAGTCATCGACATGCTATTTTATACAAAAATAATATATAAAATGTAATTTGTGCCTTAAAACTTACGGGATGGTGCAAGTGAGGTTTGCTACATTCTATTCATAATTTGATACCTTCTTGGAAGTAATAATTCGACTATAATGCAACGGCACGGCAATTATATAAAATCTATCGTAATTTAATCCGCATATGGTCCATAGTGCCAGGGGCTGTAATAAAGTAAAAAAAAATCCGTGCAGAAGACAGGGCGTTCCAGTAGAAGACCATTCTTTGCCGTTGACAACTGGTACGAAAAATGCCAGAAAAAGAAGTCCTATGCAAATATCGATGACACCCAAGTGGAAAAGTAATATGTGATTGGCTGATTTAAACTGAAAAATAAAAAAACATTAGCTTTAGCTTTGAAAGCATTGTTTAAAAAAATTGTGTAGGTACTTATTATTATTGAAACAACGCTCAAAATCTATCCGAAATACCTATATATTTTGTAGAGCTATTTTTAAGGGTATGCAAGTATGACATTTAACAAATAATATTATATTAATAGTAGTAGAAAAATTATACAAACCTAATAAGGTTTTAGATGAATAAGTTAAGTTACACATGTGGGATGTGAACACCATTTAAAACAACTAATATTAGGCAAATGGCAGTACCAACAAAGAGTGGCCGATATCGAATGTTGAGTCGGTATATATTTTAAGTTAGAGATCTGAAGCATAACAAGAAACTGGGATATCATACGAAGAAGATAAGCTATAGGTTTGTTCTGGTTCTCAAAATGAAAACTGTTTTGAAACTGCGCCGGACCGTATGCGTAAAGGCAAAAAATCCCCGACTGTTTGAAATTCTTGGAAAACCAGAACACGTCATGAAGGTGTTTTGTTTATTGTTTATTATAATAATGAAGTTCCTTTTGAAAGCTCAGCTTCAAATAACATTTGCATGTATATGTTTATCATTATCATCACATTTCAATGGAATAAATAAAAACAGAATATTAAAAAATTAATAATTCTAAAATTGCTTTAATTTACAAATAAAACAAGAACAAGAGACATTCGTCCACATATAAATAAACAATTTGGGATTGTATACGTTTCGTATGGTCTAAAAAGCCAATACAATATTCATAACACTTCAAAAACGCATGCGCGGTCAAAACAGTCCGAGTCGATCCACACTCCCAAGCATGAACACTTTTTGACTGTTTACAACAATCACGGATTATTTCGGATACGAAACCAGAACACTGGACTGAGAGATCCGAAGTAGTCCCAGAAAAACCAGAACACTTTTTATCTACTGCGCATGAGCCCGACAGTTGTGGATCGTTATTTCTCAAAACCAGAACAGACCTTAAGATCACTCCAATTAAAGGGTCATTGGAAACCAGTGACGTAGGTAATAAATAGGTTGTGGTTTCTAATATCTTGACCGAGTAATAAGTGTGGCATTTAACCAAAACCCCGAATTTAATTGGTGTAGTAGCCAAATATAAAGAAATCCCAGACAGAAAAGTATCAGACCAAATAATCTATAAAGTGAGAAATTTATAAGTATTCCAATTTAGGCGGAAGAATGAAGCATTTTATTCTCGTCTGCTTTTTTCAACTACTGTTAATATAACTGTCAAACTTTCATAGGCTTAAAAATGGCTCTACCTATGTATATCCGAAACCTGTCGCCGTATTAAAGAATATATAATAAAATACAGAGTGTCCCGAAATTAGACGGTCATATTTTAACAGCGTACTCTACATCCTAAAATAGGAGTAAAAGTTCATGCAAACATAGGTTCGAAAACGTTTCTTTTCCGAGATACAAGGTGTTAAAAGTGAAGTCCTGATGACACTCTTTTGTAAATATTTTCTAAACGTTTAAAGATAACAACTAAGTAAAATTTGGTGCAAATGCTTAACTTTTTACGCTCTATTTAATGGACTAAATCCCAGTTTTTGATCATCTTCATAGGTGGGTAAATTAGGGGGGGCTTAGGGTAAAATTGTCCTAAGTTTTTTGTGGACAGTTTTTAACATTTTTGACTATAAAATTTGGAAAACTAATGTTTTCTTTATAATAAAGCTACTACCTCGCTAGGACGCACCATTTTCAAGAGAAAAGCATTTGAAAATTTCATGATAAGTTGATGTTATCTTATTCGAAAGTGTAAACAATTAGTAGGCCTGTGAAATCAGAAATTTTATTTTTCTTTTACTTTGGAAAACCGATGACTAACGAAATTTTAGAAAATATTTACAAAAATGTGCCATCAGGACTTCACTTGTAACACCCTGTATCTCGAAAACAAAACGTTTTCGGACCTATGTTTACATGAATTTTTATTCCTATTTTAGGATGTAGATTACGCTGTCAAAATATTATTGTTGTTTTTATTGTTGTTTTTGTCGTTGCCGTCGTTTGTCGTTTGTCATTTTGATCGATTGTCGTTTGATATGAATAACAACGGTGTGGAGTAGTTATGTCGTTGTAAATGTGTTTCAAAATAATATTAAATAAAAACATAATATATAATTTGTTTTATTGGGAAAATGATACAGTTTAATGGTGGATAAAATTCGAAAAATTTATTTCCATATTTGAAAAAAGCACAAACCAATGATGGGCATTTTGTTTTTGAATAATGAATCAAAGTGGTTTTTATTAATTTTATTACGTTATAATTAAGAATAATTACCCAGACTGTATTAAAGCTACAAATTTATGTTGATTATGTTGAAAACAGTATTTAATAAAAAACCTAAACTCACCTGTTTAGTTAAAATAATCGCTATCAAAATGTAACCATTTAATATTAGACCTGCTATTGCTGACAATATGAGTAGTATTGAAAATAATAAGGATTTCATGCCACTAAGAGATCTCCATTGAGCAGTGTTCTGTCTTTTGTTTTTATAGGACAATCTATAATTAAAAAAAAAATCAATATTTATTATTTCTATAAATGAAAAGAGTGGTTAAATAAATGAAAAATCATTTTAATCAGAATTGTACTAATTATGAGAAAAACTGATATATCCTTTGTTAAAGAATATAATAAAAATAGACACTCATATTACAATACGTTTATTTATTTAAACAGTTTGTTATTTAATTTATTTACACTAAGACACGTCTTTATTTTATGAATTTAATTTATTTTTACTAATAACACATCAATTTATTTCTCTTAAACTTATACACTAATTTATATAGACAGTATCTATTTAAATATAACGATATCTTAATTAAAACTTAACTTTTAACGTCAAAAAGCCTACTTAGGTATGTACAAATAACCAGACTTATTCTCGAAAATTCAAGACGTCCTACCACTAAGAATCGACCAGAACCAGAACATACACCAGCGAATCCATCATTTATTAGTGCATCCGATATTTTCTAGAATATTACTTAGTAGACTGAATGGTTTTTTCGACCAATGGGTGTAACCAGGAGCGTATGTTAGGTTAGCTGTTTCGGAGGTTGACCTATTCTAAATAATAATTTTGGGAACGGGAAAGATTGAGCTGCAAAGGCCCAAATGATCTAGTCGAAAATTACTCGAATGACAATATTTATAAAACTCTGCTTCTTGTAAAATAGAAATTTAAGTGCCACTCTACGGTACACAATTTTATTGATTGCAAAATACCCATTTTTTTTAGAAAGATATCTATCATAAATATCAAATATTTAATTATTCATTAAGATAAAAATGGTCAGTATAAATAAAAAAAAATAAGGAAATATAATAAACTCGATAATAAATATTTAATAGCTATTTATAAAGGAAAATTAAACGAATATCGATCAAAGATATTTTAGGAACAAAAAGCGAAAAACCATTCAGTGGTTGTCTACAACTAGAATTAAAATCGATCCTGGCGATATTGAAATATTCAAAGCTTGAATATGTCAAGGTTATATCGATGATAACTTACTGTCGTGTACCTACTTTTGATATAACTTGAATAGCCTTTTCCTTTTATCAAATATAGAGAAACTACTTGTTGCGAAGATAAGTTGTTAGACTCTAATACTCGCATACTCGAATACCAGGAGTTAAATATATCTGTTAAAATCTATTTCTGGTATTCCCGTAATATATTAATTCCAATAATTAAATAATTATAATTTGTAATGTTTTTATAAGATAATTTTTTAAATTACATTACATTATATTTCTAAATAAGGCTAACTCATTTACATTACATTTTACCGATTCACTTTTCTAATCAATTCCAAATAATGAATAAATAAAATATAATCTTTTTTCCAATTTACTCATTTTAACTTCCAATACCATATGAACAGTATGAACACCTGTGTATTTCATATTCGCTCTGTGCGTGACAGCAGCGCCAATTCATTTATGTATTAATGGACTATTTTTGCTCGTTGTACAAGAAATATGGACAAAGCGCCCCTACGCTTTTTTCACAATAATACTAGTATTTTCCATTTATTATCGTTTTAATCTTATTTGAAAAATTATTTTTAACTTTTTAGTTTGATATGCTCTAAAAGCGTGTTTTTTAGTTTTTTTTACGTTCATGCAAAATACAAAACTTTATTGAACTATATTTAGTGAAAAAACTGGTTCTTTATTGCACTAGTGCAATAAAAATGTTATTGCACTCATCTGTCATTTTACTACAGCGTTTTAGTCCATTTTCATTTTCTGTGTTACGTTTTAAAAACGATTGCATATTTTATATTATTTTTAATCATTTAATAAATAAATTAATAAATAAAATGTATTTTATTAAAAATGTCATTACAAATTATGAACACAAACGTAAATAAATGCCTCAAACAAAGGTACACGATCACAGCTACTATGATTTGGATAATACAACTGCAGTTCTATAAAACATTTTTTGGTTTTTGCATGAACGTAGAAAAAATATTGTATGCAACTCGTGCAAAAAGTGTTTATTGCACTTGTTGCATAAATAACTATTAAACTATATTTATTTTTTACTTTTTAGTTCGATTAATTATTAAAAACAAAATTTGTAAGTTGAAATTGCTGAAAAAAAAACAATAATTTTTTTTCAGCCGTGGACGGGATTAGAACCCACGATCGGTGAGTCTGGCGATCGACGTGAGCGAAGACCCGCGCCCTAGACCGCTCGGCCAACGAACGAACTTGAGGTAGTGGGATATACTGACAGTAATAAGCCACTTGCTTTTAGTCCAAAGGAGAGTTACCAACATACATACATACAGGTGAAGCGTGTTAAAAAATATTTGTAAAATTATTTTGCCAATTAATTTTAAGAAGCACAAAAATATTTAGGAAAATTTGGCAATACTTAAAAAATTTGTAGAATAACGTTGATTTTCTGAAAAGCATTTATGAACATATTTTTTTTATTTATTTTCGTTTTTGGGTTAGGATTTTTTTTTAATATTTAACCCTCCATTTTTATTCAGATTTTATTTCAAAATGATAAGCTTCGTCCCCTGATTGATCTGGATTTCGCTTTTTGTTTTTGACTTATCGTGAGGACAAAAAACATGACATCGGACCCTACGGAACTAAACGTATAATACTCTTCACAGACTGTGTGAAGAGTATAAAAATTACTAACGATTTAGTGTTTTGAAATGTAACAAACCGAGGGATCCCAAAAGTGCTAATGTACGAGCAGAAAGGAAATTCAGTTACAATCTAGCAACAAATGAAAATAAATTTAATACACTCTCCGTACTAACTTGCATTTGCTCTATATGATTTTTCACAAATATAGCAAAAAGTTAAGGGGCCCCGCTCAATTGAGTCAAATTTGAGCTCATTCATACTCTAATGGGTATAGTCAGAAGATTCTCTAAGAATAGCCTCTTAGGAGTATAAAAAATCACTTTTTGGAAAGTCTGAAATTAAAAATATTAAATACTAAAAATGTACTTACTATGTCAAACCAACGTACTTTCGTAATATCACATTTTTGAAATATCGTGACGAGAAAAAGCCCGCCTTTGCCCGTCAGTAACTACAACATTATAGTAAAAAAGGGAATTCTGATAGAGTTGATCCGGAATTATGATGTCAAGCGCATAAAAATTTTAACGTCGCTCCGCCTTCCGTGTTGCTCTGTGATCAATTGATTATATACAGTGCGTCAAGCTTATTAAATACTTTAGCATAGAAGCGGAAGAAATCTGGAGAATAAAAATGAATAAAAATGAATAAAAATGAATAAAAATTAATAAAAATTAATAAAAATGAATAAAAATGAATAAAAATGAATAAAAATGAATAAAAATGAATAAAAATGAATAAAAATGAATAAAAATGAATAAAAATGAATAAAAATGAATAAAAATGAATAAAAATGAATAAAAATGAATAAAAATGAATACAAATGAATAAAAATGAATAAAAATGAAAAAAAAAATGAAAAAAAAAATGAATAAAAATGAATAAAAATGAATAAAAATGAATAAAAATGAATAAAAATGAATAAAAATGAATAAAAATGAATAAAAATGAATAAAAATGAATAAAAATGAATAAAAATTAAAAAAAAAATGAATAAAAATGAATAAAAATAAATAAAAATGAATAAAAATGAATAAAAACGAATAAAAATAAATAAAAATGAATAAAAATGAATAAAAATGAATAAAAATGAATACAAATAAATAAAAATGAGTCAAAATAAATAAAACTAATAAAATTAAGAAAAAAGGAAGTCATGTATGTTTTTATATTAATAACACGACTACATGCTAGCAAAGTCGTGAGCAAAGCCGCGGACAACAGCTAGTATTTACATAGAAACCTAATATTCTGCGATAGTTTTAACTACGCTAAAAGATACTTTAAAAAATTTACTCATTTAGAGTGAGATTACAGAACGTCTGCAACTTTGCAGATTTGCAAATATGGCGGACTTACAAGTATCAAGTTTTCGTATTCCAAAAAAGATCTGCAAATTCGCAATATTTATTGTGGTTTATTACTCCCAACACTAAACCCGATAATCTGACATCACGAACTTTATTCAATCAAAAGAAACAGAATAATGTTCTAACCTTCTTAAGGGTGGATTTGGATTTAGTGTTGTTGGGGGTAATAAACCACAATAAATATTGCGAATTTGCAGATATTTTTTAAAATACTTACATCTGTAAGTCCGCCATATTTGCAGATCAGCAAAGTTGCCGCCATATTTGCAGATCTGCAAAGTTGCAGACGTTCTGTAATCTCACCCTTAACAAATAAAACTAAGGTTCTTACTCCTTAGGAAAATCTCTAGTTTCTAGTAACTACGCTACTTTACTTATACAAAGCAATTTGGTAAAGTGGATTCAAAATAAAATCCAATGCACGTCATCGATGACCTCGTTGACAGGCATTGGTACCACACATTATTTAAAATAATGAAATTTCATTTTAAAATTAAATGAATAAATTCGGACGTATAGATTTACTTTTTTAAAGATTGCGTTAAAATAGCAAGAGCCGCCTAGCGAGTTTAGTAGACTATTTTTTCTACGACTACGTAAAAATTTCTTCAAAAAAAAAACATCTTTTTCAAATAAGAAAGCCAATTAAACAATATCACACATGTACTGAAAAGTATATCATGCATGTGTTGAAAAGTATTAGTTTAACAGTTTTCTTAAAAATCAGAATATTGCACATTTTTGTTAAATTTCTCGATTACGGACTATTTTAGGACAATTTTTTATGGGGCAAAAATTATAGAGAATAATATTATTTGAAGAATTTTCTTCTCCAAACGTAAATAACATAAATTCCATAAAATATAAAAACGACTCCCTATAAAGTTCCCCCCCTCCAGACGTTCCGAATCTGTCAAAAATCTAATCAGTTCCCCGCAGGCCAGAATAAAGGTTGAGTTTAAAATTTAGTGTTTTTCTCTTTATCCGTTTTTAATTTTTCTGCAAAATTCGAAATTTATACATTTTCTTAAATATCTGAAATACGGCCCATTTTACAGAAATTATGTATAAAACAAAAATTATAGAAAATAATATAACAAACAACTTTTATTTAAACAATTATCTTTTCTAAACGTAAATAACGGAAATTGACGACTTTTAAAAATATTTAAAAAAACTGCTCACCCTGTATAAAACTTATCGGTTTTGAGCCAGAAAATAACCTAATCTGCATACAAAATTTGAAATGTTTCTATAAAGCCGTTTTTGAGCTATTGCGCAAATAGATCGATGAAATGGGGAATCATGTTTTTCGTAATCTAGGGCTGAAACGTGAAAATCTAAAGTAAAAACTGACTTCAAAAGCGTGCAGATGCCATTACTAATTGAGTTTGCTGATTTTATCATAGATCAGATCTTGACCAAATGTATATGGAACCACCCCTGAGGTCCCCACTTTCTGACAAAAAAAAGAATCATTGAAATCGGACAACATGGTAAAATTGCTGAACAATATATAAAAAAAAATATTCCGACAAATTGATAACCTCCTCCTTTTTTAGAAGTCTGTTAAAAATGAATTATGAGCAGATATATTGATATGAAAGTTTCTGAAGGGCAAATGATTACATAAAAGAAAATTAGTTGTTTAATTTCGATTAGCAGCAATATCGGGCTGACGTATAAATTGAGTAGTCAAGAAAAAAAATTGTTTTGGGGTTATTGATTATTGATTTTCAGCGGGAAGAATAAAAAATGCCAGAAGGGTTTGGGGAAAAATAGGTATAAGAACTGTAATTGTTGGTTGGATTTTGTTTGAGTTATGATCTGGAATTTTTTGGAAGATCGATATAAATAAAGTAAATTGACAAAAAAAAACAAAGGTCAAAAGAAAATAGGCATCCCAAAGTGAGCAGGCGAGACATCCAGAGAAACAGAGAAGTTGGAGCATAGAGAAAGAAGACAAGAATAATTTAATTATGGCCGTTTCAATATTTATCATATTTTATAGATCATTTTGAACCCACTCCAAATTAAAATTGTTTTTTCTTTAATATTTTTAAATTTTAAATCCTAAATTAATTTAGTTTATTATTAGAAAAACGCTTAACGATAATTGTCAGTATGTATTTTGAAACCTAATGATAGATATAAGACATGACATTCTAAAAATATTTAATAGTCATGAAACGTACTGAAGAGTTAAATCCATAAACGATATTTTAATATATTGATCTATTTCGTTGACCTAATTTGTAAATATAAAAATATCGCTTATGCTTATATGCAGACATGTCTGCACGATATATCTATACTATACTGCGTTTTTTAAATTCCTTTTGATCAAAATTAATAATTATTACAAATTCTACACTGACAAAAGGGAACAATTTCATAAAATTATAAACCTTAAAATCCCCACGTATCTAGAAATGCGCTTGGATTTAAAGCTTAGATGCAAAGGTTGATACTAAGGTTAGATGCAAAGTTTGGAAACATGGAAAGCTTAGATGCATATATTAGATGCTAACCATAAGCCCATATTCTTTATAAACCGATTTAAGATGAGTCTGGCTTAGCTGATCAAAAATCTAAGTTTCGGTTATAATTTTTTAGAGTTCCAGGTTGTTCGAATGTTGTATTGGAATTTAGAGATAGACAGTAGCAAATCTGTAACTGTTAAGTACATTTACGGATATATTACTACTCATTTCAAAATTCCCACGTTATAACCAAACTTCAATTTTTGTACAAGGACGAACTCAGCCGAGTCTGACTCACCTGAGATCGGTTTATAAATTTAAGACCAAACCAAGAAAAATAAAAAGAAGGAAAGGCTATACGAATTATGAAAAAGGCATAAGACTTTTTTTTAGATTTCACTAAGAAGGGATCTGAGGTTTTGCTTCAGATTTTTTTTTTAGAAATGTAACAGAAAGGATTTTATAAAAATGTCCCAGTTCCCCGCATGGCTCTCGGCGGCTCTGTGCAGGTATACGCCAAAATCACTGAGAAACTGAATATAATAATTCTGCGTCCGTTAACGTTTCAATTAAAGCCCGTGTTGTACCTATGGTTATTTATTTACAAAACCGCTTTATTTTTACATTTACACAACTTATCTGCATCTCTTTATTATTTCGTTAAACAGAACAATAAGAAAATCTTTTATGTCTTAAATACAAACAAACTGATAATGATAACCTGAAAATAGGGAGCGCTATATACCTAATAAGTATATTGTAAATTACTGATTTTATTAATGTTTAATAAGAGTTCGCGATAATATCTAATGAGGCTACTCTTTTTTAATAGGCGAATTTTAGTATTTTTTTCGGTAAATATTCAGCACATTTACCTAAAAGTTTGACGTAGATCTGCAAATTATGTAAAAGGTAAGCAAAATTAATTTAATTTATGATGGATTAGTTATATTATATTTGTTTTTTCTACGTTGTATTTGAAACTTGTTGGTACTCACGGGTTTGTTAAGTGATTTGAAACTCTAGGTACGGTTTTTCATAAATTTGTATGTATCATTTAATTGGGGAGAATTCCATAAAAGAAAAAACATTTTAGTGTAACTTATTTTTATAAACTCAAAAATTAGAGAGATTATTCATTTCAGTATTTTGTTTTGTTTGGAAATTATCATACTCCACGGGACAATCTAGAAAAGTGTAGTGGAAAGTGAAACTTTTCTACGAATTTTAATCGAATAATTATTAATTAATGTTTTAGAGTGTTTTAAAAATATGTGTGTGATCAGGAATATTGTTCATTAGGCGAAAAAATTAAGTAATTGCTTTTACTTTACTTAAAAATGTGTAATAAATAATGCTAATTTTTCAATAAATAAAAATTCTGGTGCTTATTTAATGATCTCAGAAGCTTTACCGAATAATTTTTATTTCCCAATAAGCCCCAAATTTAATTTTTTGACAAATTAACATTAATACGTCCCTTTGTGCCGTCGCACTGTGGGTCAAAATTAAAAAATTCTGACCAAAACCTAATCTTTTAAGAAACCTCATTAAAATTAATTAATATTGTTTAAATATTAAAGAAATTACTTTTGCATTATTTTTAAACATTTTATAAGGTGTTTAAAATTATCAGGTGACAACAAAGAGTATAAAAATAAACAAGGAATGTATCTTTTTGGTCACTACATTTATATTGTTTAAATATTAAGTAAAAGTTTTGCATGATTTTTAAAAATTGTACAAGGGTGTGTTTCAAATTAACTGCTAAAAGTTTAAATTGGAAAAAAAATGTTTCTCTTTTGTTGATTGAAATGATAAAATGGAAAACATTTCATATAAATTTAAATATTTTATAGTTATTCCTTAATTCTTATATCAAGGATAATGTAATCGATTAAAAGACGAATTTTACTAATAGCTTCATTTTGTTTCTGTACATTAAAAATACATTTAATACATTACAAAAAAACAAGCACGTACACTATTTAAGTTTATTTATTTTCGCAGGCAACAATGGGATAACACCAATAAAACATTATAAATAAAAATCCTTATAGATATTGTAAAAAATACTTATTTAATTTCCAATTATACAGGGTTATTCAAAAGGTAAATACAAAAAATATTTCAAATTTAACTAATCAATAAAATATATTAGTTTTATTTTATCAAGGTTTTTGAACTAGATATAGAATTTATAAAATGACTATAAAAACAAAGGTATATGATTAGTGACGAATGTGGTATATAGGATTTGAGATCGCTTATCTCGTACAATAATTTAAAAGTATCCGAAAACCGACAAAAGTATCCGGTAATCGGATACTTACAAATTTGGCATCGGATACGGATACCGGATACAAAATTTAAAAAATATTCGGATACAGCTTTCGAATACATAAGTATCCGAATACAGAAGTACACAGATACTACCCAACTGTGGTACAAAACATAATATTGAAGTTTATAAGTAAAGATAAGCCAAACGGAATAACATTTTTAAATGGGAACAATACCAATATTTTTTTAAATTATATAACTATTTTTTTGTTATTCAGAATATTTGAACATAATAATGGAAATTTTAATACTTATTAATCCTTTATGAGACAAAGAAATTACGTTTATTTGAACATCTCATTGTCGTCTTAGTTTACTTAATATTTGTTTCAAAACTATAGATATATTTTGAAAATAAAAATGGTTGTTATTTGATATTTTTTCTTGATTACAAGATTTTATTTCAAATTTGGATTAAATAGTGTATACAGAAATACAGTGTGGGCTACTAAATTGTGAATAAATCTTTTTTTATTTCTTATTAGTTTAATCGTAGGAAAGTAATATCACACTAAATGAATGCCATGTCTAAAATCATAAATGTAAATAATAGTTAATAAATTAATATTAATAAATATTTTTTAATATTTGTTAATGAATAAAATTTGAATATTTTATTATTGTTTTGGTGTTTGCACATGAAGCAAGCAATATATAGAAAACATCCTATATCTCAATATATTTTCCCAATTCCACAAGACTCTGAAAAGAAGTGGTTCGGTTCTAAAAATGTACATAGGAGATAAATACCAAATTAAAAAATGTCTCTGCTTGTCTATGTTGTTACCGCCGTCTATGCTTGTGTTTGAGTTATATCCGAAATTTCGTTTAAAAAAAAACAAATATTCCGTCAATTGATCGAAATCCCTTTTCCGGAAGTAGCAAAATCTGACGACAAAAAATGCTTGCAAAGAGACGAAAAATCTATGGATAAACAAATTTACTTTAAAATTGACAAGTTACACGACAGCTTCCACCACCAGGACATAGTACATGTTGTTCATCCCTGCCCTGTACCTAACTACAGTGCAAGCAAAAAAAAATACGACATGCCACTTTTTGCAGTCAGATAAGAGACTATTATTGTATCACCTCGTTTATTTACAATTATAAAAAAATTATTGATATGTATTAAAAATTAACCATGACGTTTTAAATTCAGGATTTCCCCAATAAAATACCTTTGGAGATAAGACGTATTAATTGTTTCAATTATTTTTATTTAATATCTGTTGTACTACTTATTGTGCATTAATAATCTACTTATATATCAGCTGAATTTACTAAAAGATTATCAAGATTACCCATTTGATTTATTTCTCTAAAGTTTTGTCGTCATAAAGATAGTGGGAAAAGAACAAATAATTATTTGTTAGAAGTATAACAACAAGCAGGGTTATACATATTCTAAGGTTAATGTTCAGCTAAAAAGATAAAAGAATATTATTTATAGCTAGATAAAATAAAAACTGTAGAAACATCGCCAATTTTGAGAAAGTAATTTTTATTTGCAAAATAAAGAGTTAATATTGGCAGTGACGCAAAAATTAACAAGCTCCTATAGATTCGTTGCAAAATTAACATTTTAGATCTAATAAAACAATATACTATTCTCTATTTGGGTAGGTATTCTGTGCCTGAGTGATCACGAATTTAAATGAACATGTGAGAAAACGCGTGTTTGAAAATAAAAATCGAAGGGATTTAGGACATTTATCTACGAAATAATGAATGTATTCCTTTAATTTGCAACTTACTATATAATATAAATATATTTATACGTTTTTTAGAAATGGCGCTACTGTTAAAGCGAAATTTGAAGAAAAGCAGCTATTGATTGAACGTGATGAGCTGGGAGCAAGACTCAGGACCTGCAGATCACGATATTCCGAACGAATCCTTATACCGCTTTGCAATCTCCAATATGTACATGTACGATGAGGATTATGATGACAATCCGGTTAGTATAAGGGAAAATATATATAATCCACATCAATTCACCATATCATCATGATCATCAAGTCTGGAAAAAAGCTCATTTGCTAACCTAGCGTTGCCGTCCACCTCTTATTAAAATTCAAAAAGTTACCATTATAATCCCAATAAAAAGTAGCCCGTTTCTATTTGATAAAATTTGGTTAAGGTGAATTTAAAAGAGCAGATTTTTAAAAAACACCATGTATAGGTAATATATAATTTCTGTGTCACCGAAACAAAACTTATAGCAAAATAACACATATCAGCAAAAACCGCACGTTTCTACGATTTGTCTAAAAGGTTTAAGCTCTGGAAATGGGTCACCCTGTATAATGGTTACCTTCTATAGTTGTAATTGCCGCGTTTGAGAATCCACATCGGATGCATTTTTTACATCTCGAGCGTTTTTTATCCACATCTGTCCCATTACATTTCATCTGTCCCATTACATTTACGTATACCATTGAGTAAAAGAATATATTCGTTTACTCAATGCGTATACTGAATCACGTGATCAAGGTTTTTTACATCTCAGATGCATCCGATGTGGATTCTCAAACGCAGCATTAAACGTGGCAATATTACGACATTTCAACGCCCTGTCAAACATATATCTGAGGGGGTAGCGACATAATCTTGTATCTTGGACGCTGTTTTTACTTTCCTGATCATGATTTTTATTGGAAATAGTAGTGGCCAAGATTGCCAATTTATGAAGAAATGTTTATACATTTTTTAAATATTATTTTTATTGTGTTTGGCATAAAATATTAAAATATAATCCATTATTCATAATTTTACGTATAGTAGATAGAATCCATCGTATGTCGCAACCCTTAGATATACCTACCAAACTTTTCCAGTGGCAATTCACATGTTTGGAATACCCTTAGATAAAAGAGACCGGAGATGTAACATTGCACATTGCGCATATGTTGTCTATTCCAAACCTAAGTAACCCACCAATTAAAAATCATTGTGTTCACGACGCCACCCGAATTGCTCCGAAATTTCTATTCTTTGCTTGTCTCCGCGTGAGTAAATCATTTATGGACCGCCGTTTTTGAATTATTTGTTGGTATTATTAGCAATTTAAAGTGTTTTAGTTATTCAATTTCAAGTTGAAAATGCCACGATGTATGGTGAAAAATTGTATATACAAATAATATGTGTCAATGTTATGAAAAATAAGAAATATATTCGTTTTCAGCGGTAAATATTTGTTGACGTTTTGACATAAAGTCGCCATGATTCTTTGAGCTGAATACTTCAGATCCGCATTAAGGGGTTTCAATAAATATTTAATCTAAATAAGAAGTAAATAGGCATTGTTACTAACGAAATTTTGTTTTTAAAAAGTAGTTTTATAAGAATATTTACTAAAAGTGGTTTTTAGCCCTTTATTAGATATTTTTACAAGAATATTAGATGAAATACAGGTTTATTTTATTTGCGATTAAATCGGAAGTGACATTTGAATCTTAAATCTTAAAACAAAGTAAAACGCGCAATATGATCTAGTATAAGCAAAAAATACTAAAGTTACGGAAATTAGTCATATTATTAGTAAAATGTTACATTATAAACCCCTAAACAACTCGAAAAATATCTTCGTTTACTAAAAAAATCTAAATTCTAGCAATATTTATTATACAATCGAATGCGGTTTCAAAGATAACAGGATCAATAAATCCGAATCTCTAAATTTTGGAGCTAAATGCTCTGATAAGAGCATGCGACCGATAGGGGTTACAAAAATAATCGATTTATCGTTTTCATGAAAATCGATTTATCCGTTATAATTAATCGATTATCTTTAATAGATTATTTTTGATTAATCGAACATTTTTAATAAATTTTTTTCGTTTTTTTGGGTAATGGAATAATCGATTATAAAGGAATTACAAAAAGAGTAGATTTAGTCAAAATATTCGATTTATTGAAAATAATCGATTTTTTAGAAAAATCGATTTATTGTTTAATAGACTTTTTAAATTAATCGATTATTATCGATTTTTCAAAGGTATTCGAATAATTTGTTTTAAAATACAAAAAATAGATTATATAAAAATAATCGATTGATCGAATATAATCGATATTTCGGTTATTTTTTAGAATTATTGATTTATCGGTAAATCAGCTTTTTATTAATCAATTATTTTCGATTTTTCAAAGAAAATTAAATAATCAGTTTTAAAAGGGATATAAAAAAAGAAAAGGATTATTTGTAAATAATCAATAATTATTCAGTTTTTTTTTTTGGAAAATCGATTTATCGTAGAATCTTCTTAATTAATTGGTTATTTTCCGTTAATCGATTATTTTCGATGTTTCAAAAATGATCGAATAATTGATTTTAAAGGAAATAATTCTTTTTTTTTTTTAAATCGATTATTCGACTTTTTAATTAATCGATTATTTTAGATTTTTCAAAGATTATCGAATAATCTGTTTTAATGGAAATACGAAAAAAAAAATATAGAAATTAAAAATAATCGATTATTTAAAATAAACAATAATTCGTTTATTATTTTTTGTAAACACTGATTTATCGGTTAATTGGCTTTTTAATTAATCTATTTTTTTTTATTTTTTTTAAAGATAATCAAGTGGTCTATTTACGAAATACGAACAAAAATAGATTGTTTGAAAATAATCGATTGATCGAAAATAATCGATTATTATTAATGATCAATAATTTATTTTGATAATCACCCACTCCTAGCGACCAAATGACTTTTAATAGGTTTAAATTTTAAAATGTTATCTGGTTTCAGACATATACATTTCTAGAGTTTTATGTGACGCATCCTCTATATTAATTAATATTCTTAAAGAAACAAGCTTTAATATATCTTTTTCTGAGGTTATAATACAAAACAGCATTTTCTCATTTTGACTAAATTTTAATATTATGTGATAGTCGTAGAAAAAATATAATGTTCAACTCACAAGGTTTGATTTGCAGTATTCGCCTGCGAACATGCTTTTTTATAATACTCTTAGACAATGAGTACCATTTCTTAGTCGATTAACAATATTCTATTTCAACATTTTACTGTAGTCTCTTACAGAAAAGTCCATAGTAAATAATAGCTAACGAAATATTCTATAAAAGGTCTTCTCTTTACATAAAATGTCGTGGCATCTGTTTGATATTAAAAAATCACGTTAAATTTATTTCATAATACAAAATTCCATTAACGTATATTTTAAATAAATCTAATAGTTCATTATGATGCTAATAAACAAAGTCCGGTCCCTGTCACAGAGTTCGAGTCCCTGCCCAGTTCCCCCACTCCGTTAACCTTTGTTTAGAAATTGGCAACATTTGCGCAGGTTAAACACCAGTGTATGTTATATCTCTGGTCTCTTTTATCTAAGGGAATACCTAATTAGGCATTCCAACGACCTGCCAGTGGGAAATTCTTGTATATTTAAGGGGGTAGCGACATAGTCTTGCAACTTGGACGCTATTTTTATTCGAAGTAGTACTCGCCAAGCCTGCCAATTTATGAAGAAATGTATAGGTGGGTTTTTTAAATATTATTTTTATTGTGTTTGACATAAAATATTTAAATGTAATCCATTATTCATGATTTTACGTAAAGTAGATAGAATACACCATATGTCGCCACCCTTAGATATACCAAACCTGCCCACTGGTAATTCATTTGTTTGGAATGCCTAATTGTAAGTTTATTTGATATAAACCTACTCTTCGAAGAGATTAGCTTTATTTTATTTAATTAAATGAAAACAGACAAGCGTGTGCCAGAGTTACTTTGGCGCATGTGTGCGCCAATAATGTCAAATTATGACAATTTGCGGAAAACATCAACTTTCTAGTTAGATTTGAATGTGCAAAAGTCTACTTTGGATAGTGATCGTAGAAAAAATATGTTGTTAGGAATTAAATTTAGATATTTTTACTTTCTAACTTTACACAATTTCCATATTAGGTAAGCAAAACAATAGAAGACTGTAAAGCAGAGTTTCAGAACCAGACTGATTATCTTCAACAACATTACCGCAATGGCTTTTGTAATGTTACTTTTGATAGTGTAATGTGCTGGCCACCGACACCATATAATGAAACTGCGACCATTAAATGTTTCAAGTATTTATTTAGCATTAGGTATAATGATACACGTAAGTTTTATTAAGCAGTAAGACATTTTTATGTAAATATCTAAAAGTTTTTGAAGTAAAACTTCTTAGGCCGCGGTTCGATATTATTTGATAAGTAGGTAGTGGTCAGATATTTGGCGAGAATGGAGAATAAAATTTCAGGGACATGTAAGGTGTAACTTATAACGCATGTAATTAAAATTAAAAGAACATTTACCTCGAGAGTTTATATACGAATTTTCTATTTGAAAGATACAAGGCGGAGAGGAGTGGAGAGCGAAGCGGAGCATAATGAATTAGAGTGGACACGGAGCGGAGGGGAGCAAATTAAGTAGAGTGAAGTGGGGTAGAGTAGAGTGGAGTAAAGTTGGGGTAAAGTAGAGCGGAGTAGAGTGAAGATAAAGTGAAGGTAGAGTGGGGTAGAGTGGAGGTAAAGAGAGGTAAAGGGATAGTATTGGGTAGTGTAAGGTAGAGTGGAGTGGAGAGAGATAGAGAAGAAGCAAAATGGCCGTGCGCATGCGATACCCGCTTTGAACAATCTATAAAACTATTTATATCATTGTCAATTACATCGCTGAGTATCAACTGTCGTTTGAATTAGGCATTCCAACGATGTAATTGACAGGGTCTATTATATAGATTGCTCAAAGTAGGCTAGGAATACATGTATCAATTGTCAAGTTTTATTTTTTTGGATGTTCTAAATCGATTTTTAATGAGCATCACAAAACACTTCATGGTACTTGCAAGGCAAAATGGCCGCGTGCAATACTGCTATAAGCAATCTATATAAGTATTTATATCATTATCAATTACATCGCTGAGTGTCAACTGTCTTTTGTCTAATCAATTAGTATCTCTCTCTCTCTCTCTCTCTCTCTCTCTCTCTCTCTCTCTCTCTCTCACACACACACACACACACACACCTGTAATCTTTCTTATTCTCTAGTTTATAAAAAAATTTTACTTCTCTCATGCTGCATGCGAATTTTTTAAATGATTTTTAAATAGAATAGATAATAAATATTATAGTCTATGCAAAAGACATAGGGTGAGATTACAGAACGTCTGCAACTTTGTAGATCTGCAAATATGGCAGACTTACAGAGATGCATGTAACATGTTTTCGTATTCCAAAAAATTTCTGCACATTCTCAATTTATTGTGGTTTATTACCCCCAACAACACTAAACCCAAATCCACCCTTAATGAGGTTAGAACATCATACAAACTTGTAGATTGTCAATTTTTACTTGACTTTTTTTTAATAACCATGAAGTCTTCTGTTCCTTTTGATTGAATACAGTTCGTAGTGTCAGATTATCGAGTTTTTAAACATAGTATTGGATTTGGGTTTAGTGTTGTAAGTCCACCATATTTGCAGATCTACAAAGTTGCCGCCATATTTGCAGATCTGCAAAGTTGCAGACGTTCTGTAATCTCACCCATAGTCTGCAAAGCACCCTGTGTAAAATAATTTAATTGTTGTTTCGTATTAAACAAAACATTGTTTCATAAACGCCGCCTTTGAATATTTTACACAGACTATTAAGATATCCTAAAACAAAGACAAGAGATTATCTTTTCTTTATTTGTAAAATTTTATAGCATTGTAATTTATTATAAACAAAATTTAAGTAACTACAAAAAATCTAAAAGATTTCTTGAATATTTTTTTACAATTATTTTTTAGAAAATGCTACCAGAAAATGTGAAAATGGAAACTGGACGAGACCGAATTATGATATGTGTAAAGAAATAATGCAAATTCCGGAAGATAATGCAATACAAACTTTATTATATTTTTTGGGGTTCACTTTGAGTCTGGTAACCTTAGTAATAGCAGTAACCATTTTTATATATTTCAAGTAAGTATGTTAAATAAAAAAATAGCGTATAAAGTAATTTTTTATTATTATAATGTTTGGACCGTTAAAATATAAAAATAGGGTTTCCACCGAATAAACGTAATCTTAATATTAAAATTGTTTTTAAATATTAGTATGAAATTCAAAACACTTACCTAAATATTACACACCTAAAATAAATAAAAAGATACCTGAAGTGGCTTCTGTAAAATTAGGAATTACTATTGATCAAAACATACAAACTGAATACCTTGCCAAAAAAATTGGTAGAATGAGAATACTTATTCCTATTCTTAGATACTCATCACCTAAAAATAATTTACTATTTACTTATAAGTGTCAATTAATATAATGTGGAATGCTGTGCTGATAGGGAGGATTGAATGGTGATATGGCCACCTAGTCAAAATCAACGTTGCACACACACGATTTTTATTCAATTATTTCTAGAGTTATTGGAGGTCCGCGCGACAACCTCGGATGGCTATATTTCGGGTAAAATTAAACTTGAAATTTTTAATTTCTGGAGTATGATACATGCCATAGGCGGACGTAATTCCAAATACTTTTCATCCTTCTACCCCTTCCAACTTTGCACTTTGTCCAAATATACCATTAAGTCATAATTGTTCTATCAAAGCAGAACCTACTTGGGTATGAAAAAAATAAGTGGAATTTCTTTCCCCTATGCACTGTCCAATACCCCGAAAAATTGAATTCTCTTACCCTTCGTGAATTCTGATTTTATAATTTTAGGATAATGATAGGCGTAGTAAGGGCAAATACTGAAAGAGCACACATGACCTCTTTCACGAGATAGTGAATAAAGTTCCTTGGGTTGTGCCGTTGAAATTAAATATTGACGAAAGGTCATACTCTTAGGATATGTTTGTTAATAGGGGATCGAAATATTACCGCGTTTTCATAAACATCGTATATAAAAATTAAAACTGCAGATAGGTATGACAAAAATGTAAATAATGATTTTAATTATAACAATTACAATCCGTATAGAGCAGTGCCGAATTTATATTTTTTATGAGTGTAGGCCACTTCATTTCCACCGTCCCATGTACCTTTCTAAAATAATCATTTTTCATTTGTAGTAAGGAAGGCACTAAAGTTAAATAAACGAATGAATTAGTCATTAAGAAAGAGTGTAAAAAAGAAATAAGAATTACAATTTTTTCCATGACTTTTTAATAGCAAAACCATTTATAATTATCATAGTTTATAGTGTTCATTATCTCTGCTTCTGCAATGCAGAGAGCTATATCCAAGTTAGGGTAAAAATTAGACAGAGACTGGTTACCTAAAAACGTTGAGTTTGATCCAGGCTTCACTGCACACTCTGCAGTTTTATTAGAGGAAATGTGACTGTGAAAATGCACACATTCTTGAACCAAATTGTCGCAATATATATAAAATAGGTACAATAACAGTAGGTAACTAGGATTGATAATTTTCGATAGGAATGAGTTTCTATAGGGATTTAACGTATTAGTATAAAAATCCATGAGAAAACCAGTGAACTTGTTTGACTTTAATCCTCTGAAATCGAGTGAGCGTCTTCTGAAATCTGCCGCCCCTAGGCCGCGGTCTATATGACCTATTGACAAATCCAGGACTGGTATTGAGGGTGTTTCATAAGAATCGTAATTTTTTGTACAGAAAATAACAATTTTTTGATATAACCAAAAAAATAATTAATCGATTATTCAAAACAAAATGATTTATTAAAAAAAATTGATTAATTAAAAGAAGCGAAATAATCGATTAACGATTCTTTAAAAAAATTGTTATAATAGATTATTTATTTAAAAAAATAATAATCGATTAATCCATTATTTTGCCCTTCCCTCTACCTGGGGCTCGATTCTCGAGTTCATTGGAAAATTTTCCCATGGGAAAAGATTCCACTATTTATTTTCCCATGGTAATAGGTTATGCAATTCTCGAACTTGTCGGAATAGACATTCCCATGGAAATAATAGTTTCACGTATGTCTGATATTAAGTTCACGAATATTTCGAAATAACCAATAACATTAAAGATATTTTAAAATTTACTGTTGGTATTATTTGTATTTGTTATGGTTTTTGGGTAACCGATTACCTGCCGAGCCTCTGCGCTGGAGCAGAGGACAAGTGAAAATATTCGATTATGTATAATTAAAACTTATCGAGTTATTTTTAGTTTTTCTTTTCACATATTGAAAAAAGAAAAAGTAGCTTTTGTATAGAAGAGCAACGAAAGTTTCGAGAAACTATATATGTATATAAGAAATTCTTTCGTTAACGGAAATAATAAAATTTTCGAAATGGTCTTATTAAATTTACTACAAATTTCTCAATTTGTGTTACCTATTTGCCAGTCCCTTAGCAGCTCCCACAATTTCTAACTAATTTAAGAAAATCAGTTTCTTAGTGAAAGAGAGGTAAAAATAATATATCCACATAAATAAAATAATATCAATTTATAAATACACAAAAAACATGTTTTAACTACAATTTCACCAAAAATCCAAGATATCCAATAATCTGTGGTTATGTCTTAGTCTTTCGCGTGGTCTTTCGTCAAATTTTCGACTTTAATGCACAAACTCTAGTACAATTCCCATTGGAAAACACAATTTCCAATGCTCGCAAGCAGGGGAATATTTTCCCATACTTCTCATTGGAAAATATTCCACCGCTTATGCCGAGAATACGAAAACTGAATTCCCATGGGAAAATTTTATTTTCCCATGGGAATAAAAGTCGAGAATCGACCCCCTGGAATACCTAGAGGTTGCGTTCGCGGTAACAATTCAGAATTAATAATGAATCGAACTGCGCTCAAACTATAAATTATTAGTTCTGAATCAATTCAGAATTGTTTCCACGAACGAAGTTATTAATTGCACTCAATAGAAACCCAGATTAAAAACCAGTTCCGAAATGCCTTATTTTAGGTAACTAGTGATTATTTTCGGGACGAACAGAGCGAGGAGATAATAAATAGATTCACTGTCTACACCGGAGCAAGGCGGACATTTTCGTAGCCTTCTTGTTTGTAAAAATTCCGAATCTACGACCCACGGGCGCGAGATCAGATATACAGAATATGTGAATTGAGGGCTTTACAACTTTTAGCCCTGCCAGCCAGCAACATCAGCTAACGAAAAATATATTGAACGCCCTCGACGGCCTCCCTTTGTACTGAGGGGTTGTAGCCCTATATATAAGCTGCCACTGTTGTCTTCCAAAGTAAAATGATTTTTAATAAAATAACTTTTTTTCAGAGAATTACATTGCCTTAGGAACAAGATTCATGTAAATCTAATGTTTTCGTACATTATAATGTATTCGACATGGATTGTAATGCTTATATTAGTAGGTACATTATAAATTTTACATTATTCTTAAGGTTGTTGATAAGAAAGATTTTTTTTGTATTACTAGCTTTGTACCTAGTTTGTCTCTCAGTGATAAGAATCTTTAACTTGCGGCCCTTGGGAATACCGATAATACTTTTTTAACCTATAACAAACAAGTTATTAGTTATGAAATAAAAAATAAAAATAATTTTTAATAGAATATCACATTAAATTTTTTAAATATTTTATTATCGGATTATTCCAATTAATATTAAATGTAAAACTGTTTTTTAATAGTAATTGTGCATCGGGATAACTTATTTGCCGCAGAATATTTAATAGTACGAGTGTAGAAAGTTTCATTAAAAAAATATAATAATAATAATAATAATAATAATAATAATAATAATAATAATAATAATAATAATAATAATAATAATAATAATAATAATAATAATAATAATAATAATAATAACGTGTTTTAAATATAAAAGTAGTTCAACATTTATAACTTCATTATTCATTTGTAGTTTTTTTTAACTTTGACCCATTAATATCTCTTAATTCTATTTTTTAGATTAATCATAGGGATGATTCCATAATTGTTTGTGGATTTGGAACAACTCTTTTACATTATTCACATGTGTCTACGTTTTTCTGGATGTTCGTGGAAGGTAATATTAAGATATTTTATAGATATGCAGAGGATTTTAGTTGTTTATGTTAGAACTTTAACACTCTATAGAACTTTTAAAATTAATACAAAAAGTTTAATACTTATAGGTTTAATACATATAGGTTAATAAATTTTAAATTAGGATTAAAATAACATTTTTTAACGGATTGCATTAAAAATAACAAAAGAATAGATTAACTTTTATAATTCGTACATTATTATAAAATATCTTTCATTTCAGGCTTCTATCTATATAATCTGGTTGTGACAACATTTAGAAATAAAATATTTAAATTAAGGATATATGCTAGCATAGGATGGGGTGAGTTAATTAATAAATAATAATAATAATAAATTTGCTCAAAAAATAAAATTAAATATTTTCACCACTATCACTATTTTTCTTTTGTAGGAATACCCCTCATTTCTATTGTAATATGGGCAGTTATTAAGAGTTTTCTATCAAAGGACGGGAATGTAAGTACGTAATCTTATTTCTCAATTTACGTCACATATTATGCCAAGGCAATTTATAAACTACGGGTAAAGATTACCAAGATGAGACACTACATTCATGCTGTAAAAATAACTCCGACTTCGGACATTTAAACGGGAGTGTGAACGATGTTGCCAATTTTATCTCTATATTATTATATTTCACAATCAATACTGTTTTTGATGTATTAGAAAAGCTATCAGAATTATTAAAAAATAAACATAACCTAATTGAACGACCATAAAAATTCAATAAACTCTCCACAAGAAAGTTAAATTAAATAATTAATTCTATTTTGGGATATTCATTTTAGTTTGATATCTTATCGGATATTTTGTTCACGTAAAGAACAACACTCTCGCTAAATCATTTTTACATTTTAAATTTAATTAATTTAAAAACAAACGAAGCAAATTTAAAATTGTTTAAACCGTTGATTACAGAATTAAAAATGTTTTCAAATAAGCTATCGTCTATTTAACATTTCCAAGAGGATTTAAATTTATGTACATTTTTTATTTACATAAGAACCTGTCTGAGCATAAATGTTTTGCTTTCTGAGTTTTTTACCATGCTACTACAAAGATATAACGTGATAAAATGAAATTACCTTTTTCTTTAGGGTTTTCTAGAATTCAAAAAACAAGTACCTACCACTACCACATTCCAATCGTTCAATTTGAGTTTAGAACTATGAAGGCTTGCATTTCGGAACGCGCGACAGACGACAAAAGACGCGACGGCAGATGCATTTACGTTACGCTTCACACATTTGGGATGCAAGGAGATAAGCGACGCGACAAACGCAGACGACAATTTTAGGGAACGATCAGTGTTGCCAGACCTACTGTATTAAAGTAGATCTTTTGTCTTTGGCATGAAATCTAATTGAAAGATTGTTCGACTTACCTGTAAGGAAGATCAATCTCAATTATTCGAGCATCGGAGTTCTTCTATGATAGATATGGTAGGTTTCATATTCCAAGTAATTCACGCACTGTGTTAAAAGTAAATAATTTTTTGTCGTATCGGCTAATCCTTTGTCTCTGGGAGCGACTATCGAACAGTTCATTTGTGACTGAACTAATCGCACTATAGGGTAGATTGTGGAGGGAGGGCCCTATCATAGAAGAACTCCGATGCTCGAATAATTGAGATTGATCTTCCTTACAGGTAAGTCGAACAATCTTTCAATTATTCTTCGCATCTCCGTTCTTCTATGATAGATATGGTAGATGTTTAAAGATACAACTAGGGCGATTAAACGCAGTGTATAATAATAAGTAAATAAACCTATTTAGTATAACATAGGTAAGATAACACAATAAACAAAAATTAGTAAACACCCAAAAAACATTTTTTTTTTTTTTTAAATAATTATTATGTAGTATTTTCTATATTTCCTCTAATAACCGAATTTGCAAAATCTAAATTACTGGTTATTAAAGGTCGATTATAGAAAATAGCAAATACTGATGAACTTTTTGTCCATCCAGCCGTATTTTTGATTATATCTATATTTAATCCTGCTCTATAGGCAGCAGAAGTACTAGCATGTCTAACACTGTGACTAGTAAACATACTAGTATCTATTCCACTTTTTTGAAGGACTTCCTTTATCCATCTACTTATAGTTTCGGTAGAAGCGGGATGATATGGCTTTTTGTGTGTTAATATGAGGTAGCCCTCATCATTTTTCCTAAAAGGTTTTGTGATAGATAGATAATATTCTAGAGTTCTTGCCACGCATAATTCCGGTTTTTCAGAAAAATATGGAAATATCAAAAAAGGTTGGGCTTTATTCGGGCCCGATGTTTTAATTTTTTCTGATATTTTAATTTCAATTTTGTCCCTTTTAAACATAATATTTTGTAGAAATATTTTTGATATTGTTTGTACCCTACTAGCAGACGTCAAAGCTAATAGAGTGACAAGTTTTAAGGTTATATCTTTTATAGTGAAAATATGTAATGGATATATTTTTTCTAAATAGAGTAATATCGGGTTTGGATCCCAAGTTGTCGAGTATTTAGGGGTAGAGGGCCTTTTGTTATAAACACCCTTTAAAAACCGTTTTATGGTATTTCCATCGTGTTGACTAAAGTTTAATATTAGCGCTAGAGATGATCTATATGTATTAATAGAAGAATAAGAAAGACCTTCATTAAAGCAACTTAATAAAAAATTTAATACTGAATTTATACCATAAGTATATGGACTAATTTTTTGCTTTAAACAGTAATCCCACCATTTCTTATAACAATTTGAATATTGTTTTATTGTTTTTTCCCCAATAGGAATAACAGTCTCGGTTATGCCTCGTTTCTCGAACGAATCCCAGATAATTTGCCTACCACCAGGGTAAGACTCTTGTGTAGTGGGTGTTTCTCCCTGGAAGGAGAATAAGTTAAATAATCATGTGGACCAAAAAAAATTGGTTTTTCTAGTAACAATTCATAAAAAGACGGAAACCATGACTGAGAAGGCCAATTTGGAACAACCAAGATACCTGTAGCTTTATCCGTACGAATTTTTTCAAGAACTTTGTGGATTAAAGAAAAAGGTGGAAATCCATAAAATTTTAAGTTCTGCCAATTAGTCGTAAACGCATCAACTAATAAAGAATCAGGATCTGGTCCCCAAGAGAAGTATTTATTACACTTTTTATTAATTTTGGATGCAAATAAGTCGATTTGTGGTTTGCCAAATTGCCTAATTATTTTAGTGAATATATCTTGATTTAGTTCATATTCGGTTTCTGTGGATGTAACCCTTGATAGGAAGTCCGCCTCTATGTTCTCTTTTGTATTTATATAAGATGCATAAATAAAAATATTATTAATCTCACAGTAACTCCATAATAATTTAGCAATAATGTTAAGTTGTTTATATTTTATGCTACCCATTCTATTAATAGTTGCAATTGCTGTTATATTATCCATTCTTAGTAAAATATTACAATTACATGCAGTTTTTGAAAAGGATTTTACACTGTAATAAGCGGCTTTTAATTCTAAATAGTTAATATGTCTCTTACGGTCATCCTTATTCCAAAAACCGTTTGCTTGTTGACCATTGCAATAGGTACCCCAACCCGTCATGGATGCGTCAGAAAATATTTCTAAAGAAAATTGTTGTGGTAAGATACTTTTTCCCGCACTAGTGATATTCATTAACCACCAGTCAAAATCTTGTTTCAATTCCCGTGGAATAATCATTTTTTTGTTATAGTTCATATTATTACTACGTAAATTTCTTATTTTAACAATTTCAAAAGGTTTTGTGTGGAACCAGCCATACTTTATAGCTGGTGAAATAGATACCAATTTCCCAACGATTGATGCAAAGGCTCTTATTCTTATTGATTTTTTATTTCTTATTTTATTGAGTAATTTTAAAGTACCTGTTATTTTGTTTTCTGGTAAGTGTATTGTCATTTCATGAGAATCAAAAATATATCCTAAAAACTGAATCCTTTTAACGGGTTGAAGTACGCTTTTTTCATAATTAATTACCATACCTAGTGATTTTAACAGATTTACTGAAATGATGATGTTGTTATAGCATTGTTCATAATTTTTTCCGATAATCAAAATATCATCTAGATATATTAATACTTTACATCCTAAAATTCGAAGGTGTCTAGCGACCTCCTTCATTAATTTAGTAAAAATGTAAGGCGCTATGTTTATTCCAAATGGTAGGCAATTAAATTCAAATAATTGATTTTTAAATTTGAATCTTAAATATTTTCTATGGTTTTTATGAATTGGCAATAGAAAATAAGCATCTTGCAAATCTAAGTTTGCTAAGTAACAATCTTTTGTTATTAGTTTAATTGCTGTTCTATAATCATCAAGTTTAAAATGATTTGTAGGTATAAAACAATTTAACTTTTTTAGATTCAAAATGAATCGGTTTTTTCCGTTGGGTTTTTTAATGAGAAAATAAGATGATAAAAATTGATTTTTGGAGTTTTTACATTTTGAAATTGCTCCTTTTTCAAGAAGGTTCGAAATTTCTTTTTCATAAAATTTAATGTCAGAAATTGATACTCTTTTTGAAAGAGTTATTTTTTGTTTAGGTCGGGTTAGAAAAGGTATTTTTATACCTTTAATCCAATTTAGAACTTGCCGATTATGGACAATTTTAAGCCATGCTTTGTAAAAATTTTCTAATCGGCAAGCGATTTTTTGTGGTACCTCTACTTGTAGTGTGGTGTCCTGGACTGACGGTGATGGTATCGGGAGTTGTTCTTCTCTGAAATTCTCTTCTTCTGGTCTCTGCTGTTTCCCTGCCCCTTTTTTCTTATCTCCCCTTTCATCTTGGTGTTGAACACATGGCGCTTGAAGTTTAAATTATGACCAGTTGACGTTCCTGGGGTCGATTGACTGTATGTCATTCTGAAAGGTTTGTTCTTAATATTTTCGCTGGCTTTTTTCATGGCTTGGCAAGAATTAACCTTTTCCATAAAACCTGAGCCAAAAAGATAGTCATCTATAGTGCTTTGTTGGGCGGCAACTCTGCTGTTCTGGTTAATGGAGGGATTTACCTCCCATTTCCTTTTCACTGATAATGCGTGATGAACGCTGGCAAAAAAAAGAGATGCATCTGATAGTTTTTGTACTAATTCTTCTTCAGTATTGCCCGAGGTTTTAGATAATTTTTCAGTCAAAATTGAGCCAATAATTGTCTGGTATAGGATATTTAAGTAATAATTCCTTTCTGGCTTCGCCTGGTATACCTTGAGTTAAGTAGTTCGACCATCTTACTACCAGCTCTTCATGTAAAGCTTCCCCCTTTTTATTCTGATTACTGGGGTTTTCGCCCAAAAGTTCAACAATTTTTTGATCGTTAACCTCTATTTGTGGTATCGCTGATGTACCAGGTAGAGCATTATGTTCTAATAGTGTATTATATTGGCCGATTTCCTCATTTTCTCTGGAGAAAGAATCTCTGCTAGAGGTATGGAGGGACTCTGAAAATAAATACACTCGAATAATAGTGTTTTTTTTTTTTTTTTTTTTTTTAAGTTATGTCACCAAAATAAACTACATAAAAAGAGTTTTCCGGAAAAACAAAACAATGACATTCTGCATTATTTAAGAGCAAGCAAGCGTTTTTGCGAACATCGTAGTCAAAACAAACTACCCCTGTATACAAATAGCAAACAAATGTTTGCGGGCATCGTAGTCAAAACAAACTACACCCTATATATATATATTAATAGTATACAAGAAATGTTTCCGGTTGAAGCAAACAAAACAACAAAATTCTGCTTTATTTGATAGCAAACAAATGTTTGCGGGCATCGTAGTCAAAACAAACTACACCCTATTATATATTAATAGTATACAAGAAATGTTTCCGGTTAGAGCAAAACAAAACAAAATTCTGCTTTATTTGATAGCAAACAAGTGTTTGTGGGCATCGTAGTCAAAACAAACCACACCCTATATATAATAATAGTATACAAGAAAAGTTTCCAGTTAAAGCAAATCAACAAAATTCTGCTTTATTTGATAGCAAACAAGTGTTTGCGGGCATCGTAGTCAAAACAACTACACCCTGTATACAAATAGCAATATTTCAATACATAAAAAGGCGTAGCACACTAAAAAATTGTAAAGTTTAAGATATAACTTACCCTGTGAACTATCCGAATCGGAAGATGTTGAATTTTTATCCGTTAATTCCTTTTCGAGTCTCGCAAACTTCTTTTTCATTCGCAACAACTCTTTTATCGCTTTTCTTTTTCGATTATTTGGCATGTTTACTTCGTTTAACTCACAATTAAATTTTGTACACTGCACGTGAAGGCACTTAAAAATGAACTGTTCGATAGTCGCTCCCAGAGACAAAGGATTAGCCGATACGACAAAAAATTATTTACTTTTAACACAGTGCGTGAATTACTTGGAATATGAAACCTACCATATCTATCATAGAAGAACGGAGATGCGAAGAATAATTATTAAGTTTGCCTCATTCTTTAGTAAATGGTCAAAGAATATTTTCTCTAATAAATTTGCTGAAGTAAAAGCAGGGTAATAAGCATCCACTACTGTAAAAGAACCTCAATATAATCATTATGTTTTTATTTAAAATACAACAAAGAATTAAAAGGATATGCATGCCAAACACAACGTATTTGAATTATCTGATTCAGACTGATTTAAAAGAAATACCTATTATTTTTCTTTTTTTTTTTGTTTCCGGACGTTAAGTATGTATTAAAAATGTTATTATTTGTTTTTATTCTTTGTTTACTTTCCAATTTGGGTAGAAAAATGTTTATTTTTCGTTTCTTATACAGTGTGTCTACTTAAGTTGGAACCATATGGAAAACATTTTTATTATTGATTTTAGGAAAAAAAGTTATTCTTGATAAAAAGTCCTGCATGACCCAAAACCTAAAATACAGTCATCATATCAAATTTTTCAAGCCGTATACGAGGTTTGTCAAAAAATATGAATTTTGCTCAAGAGTAAAGTACGTTTATTTTTGACAAAATCGAAAATTTTCATTCACTGTATTTTAAGTTTTGGGTCATGCAGGACTTTTTATCAAGAATAACTTTTTTTTCCTAAAATCAATAATAAAAATGTTTTCCATATGGTTCCAACTTAAGTAGACACACTGTATACTCGTTTTTTTTTATTTACTACACTGCAAATTACAATTATTTCCCCCTGTATTAAAATCTACTGTTCAGATCTACGGTTTTTTTTCCACCCATACTGTTCCAGAAAATCTTCATCTAGCAACACTGCGCAGGATAGAACTTTGCAACTACCATTTCTATAAAATATCGACTAATCACCTCGAAATACAAGCGATGACTAAAGGAGACCTCAGAAAACGCTGCCCCAAGACTGATCTATGTGTCGTCGACTTCTGTCTCTTGGACTGGTCACGCCTTGCGAAATGATTTTATATAATTGCATGTGTTCAGACGAGAAGAGACAGACCGTTCTTGGTCTCCTTTGCCGTCGCGTCTGCTGTCGTATGTCGTCTGTCGCGCGTTCCGAAATTATACCTTTAGACGTCACAAAAATCAGGCATGAGTTTCTTAGTTTATAGGTAGCCTTGGTTTTGTCCAATTTTAGTAGAATATATTTCCCACATGTACAACTTATATTTATTTATTCTTTGTATCTGACTGTTCTTTTCTATCAAGAAAAATTAATATAATTACGCATAATCTTTATGTAAACATAATATTAATAAATAACGTATATTTTAGTGTCCCTGGTTGTATGATGATTCAATTGACTGGATTTACCTAGCGCCTCCTCTGTTAGTTGTGTTTCTCAACTTAATTTTCCTCTTCAGTATAATGTGGGTTTTGATAACAAAATTGCGATCGTCCACAGGCGTTGAGCACCAACAACATTATAAAGCTGCCAGGGCACTTCTTGTGCTAATACCACTTTTAGGAGTCACTTGGGTCATTACTATTTATGTTCCGTCCGATAATTTGCGAAACGTATTCGAGTCTCTGAGAAGCATACTTTTATCAACGCAGGTATTGTCTTTTTTTTTTTAGTTACTTTTTAACCATATTATTGGTTATTTTTATTCACAGAAAGTGAAACAAAATATTTTCGAAGATTAATAAATACATTAAGTACGATATTTTTTTCTTCTAAAAATATAACTGTAAAATTATAATATATACTAATACAAAATTCCGAATCAATTAAAATACATACGATACGGCTATGAATAAAAAAAATCTGACTTATCTGTCAAAAGAAAAGATTTATTACAGTAAATACCATGGAAACATGATTAAATCTAAACGAAAACTTTTATTAGGACGATCAGATGTATTACAATTTTCAGTTTAACTACAAATAAGCATTGAAGAATGAAGTATAAATAAAATGTCTACCTCTTGAATCTGTACTACGTTCTGCTAATTAAATTACTGAACTTCTTTCGTCTCTAGACTATACTATTACGTACAGTTTTAGAATTGAAATGTATGCCATCTCCCTCGTTACTAAAGGTTTATTTTAACACGTCTTCAACAATACCCATAATCCAAGTGACCAAATTGTTGTCAGCAGTTATCTAAAAGTAACATTAATTACTTCAACAATGATTCCAAAGCATTACCATTACCATATTTGACACAACTGACAATAAAGTTCATCCAAAAGTATTGTATGAACTTAGATAAAAGAGACCAGAGATATAACATACACCGGTTTTAAACCTGCGCAAATGTTGCCAATTTCTAAAGAAGGGTTAACGGAGTGGGGGAACTGGGCGGCGACACGCGGCGACCCGAACTCTGTGACAGGGACCGGACTTTGTTTATTAGCAACTTAATGAACTATTAGGTTTATTTAAAAGGTGTTTAATCGAATTTTGTATTATGAAATCAAATTATCGTGATTTTTTAATATCAAACAGATGCCACGACATTTTATGTAAAGAGAAGACCTTTTATAGAATATTTCGTTAGCGTTTATTTACTACGGACTTTTCTGCAAGAGATTACAGTAAAATGTTGAAATAGAATATATTGTTAATAGAGCAAAAAAATGTTACTCATTGTCTACGAGTATTATAAAAATAGCATGTGCGCAGGCTAATACTGCAAATCTACCCTTATGAGTTGAACATTATATTTTTTCTACGGCTATTACATATTATTAAAAATTAGTCAAAATGAGAAAATGCTGTTTTGTATTGTAACCTCAGAAAAAGTATATTAAGGCTTCTTTCTTTAAGAATATTATTTATTATAAAGGATGAGTCACATAAAACTCTATAAATGCATATAATAATAATAATAATAATAATAATAATACTCTCCCTAATTCACCCCCTTACGAGTGAATTTTAACCCCAAAAGCTGAGCTTGTCCGGGGAAAGGGACGGCTATTATTATTATTTGCCGTGGCGCTCCGGGGCGACTTAAAGATGATTGATGGTGCCATTTGACTTACAGGTGAGGTCTGAAACCAGATAACATTTTAAAATTTAAATCTATTAAAAGTCATTTGATCGCTAGGGATGAGTGATTATCGAAATAAATTATCGATAATTGAAAATAATCGATTATTTTCGATCAATAGATTATTTTCAAACAATATATTTTTTGTCATTTCCTTTAAAATCGACTACTTGATTATCTTTGAAAAATCAAAAATAATCGATTAATTAAAAAGCCAATTAACCGATAAATCAGTGTTTACAAAATATAATATAAATAGAATTATCGTTTATTTTAAATAATCGATTATTTTCAAATAAACCATTTTTTTTTCGTCCATGGAAACAGATTATTCGATAAAATAATCGATTAATCAAAAATAATCAATTAATTAAAAAGTCGATTAACTGATAAATAGATTTTAAAAAAAAACAGAATGATCGATTATTTTAAATAATTGATTATTTTCGATCAATCGATTATTATCAATAATCTATTTTTATTGTATTTCCTTTAAAATCGTTAATTCGATTATCTTTGAAATACCGAAAATAATCGATAATTCCAAAATAATCGCCTAATCGAAAATAATCAATTAATTAAGAAGCCGATTCTATGATAAATCGATTATTACCAATAATCTATTTTATTGTATTTCAAAAATATTCGATTAATTAAAAAGTCGATTAACTGACAAATCGATTTTCAAAATAAAACAAAATGATCGATTATTTTAAATAATCGATTATTTTCGATCAATCGATTATTATCAATAATCTATTTTTATTGTATTTCCTTTAAAATCGATAATTCGGTTATCTTTGAAATACCAAAAATAATCAATAATTCCAAAATAATCGCCTAATCGAAAATAACCAATTAATTAAGAAGCCGATTCTCATATTTCCTTTGAAATTGATTATTCGATTATCGAAAATAATTGATTATTAAAAAGCTGATTATCCAATAAATCGATAATTTTAAAAAAATAACCAAAATATCGATTATGTAAAATAACCGATTATATTCAATCGATTATTTTCATATAATATCTTTGAAAAATCGAAAATAATCAAATAATTAAAAAACCGATTAAACGATAAATCGATAATTTTGAATAAATGTACTTTTTCTGTATTTCCTTTAAAATCGATTAATACATTATCTTAAAAAAAAGGGAAAATAATTTATTAAAAACAGCGGATAAATCGATTTTCATTAAAAAATATCAGAATTATCGATAAATCGATTTTTTTTGTAACCCCTATCGGTCGCTTGCTTTTATCTGAGCATTTAGTTCCAAAATTTAGAGATTCGGATTTTTTGATCCAGTTATCTTTGAAATCGCATTCGCTTGTATAATAAATAAATATTGCTAAATTTTGGATTTTTTTTAGTAAACGAAAATTATGTTCGAGTTGTTTAGGGGTTTGTAATGTAACATTTTATTAACGTGACTAAGGGTTGATTCCACCATTGTGTTAAACGAAGTTTAAAATGACATTTTTACATTAACACTGTCATTTTAATCTCCGTTTAACACAACGGTGGAATCGGACCTAACTCCTGTAACTTTAGTATTTTTTTTTTGTTTATACTAGATTACTTTGTTTTAAGACTGAAAATTCAATGTCACTTTTGATTTGACCGCAAATAAGATGAACCTTGAAATTTTAAGTAGGTCATCCTGTATTTCATCTAATATTCTTATAAAAATACCTTATAAAAATACCTTATAAAAATACCTTATAAAAATAAAATTTAGCTAGCAACTATGATTCTTTACCTCTTATTTATCTACCAAAAAGGGCTAAAAACTACCTTTAGAAAACATTCTTATAAAACTACTATTTAAATACAAAATTTCGTTAACAATAATGCCTATTTACTATTTATTTAAATTAAATGTTCAAAATTTTACCCTTTTGTAAATTTATGTAAGTAATATGAAATCTGATGCTTAATATTTATTGAAACCCCTTAATGCGGATCTGAAGTATTCAGCCCAGAGAATCATGGCGCTTTATGTCAAAACGTTAATAAATATTTACCGCTGAAAACGAATATATTCATAACAGTAGTACTTGTATTATAAGTACATACAATTTTTCAAGATACATCGTGACATTTTGAACTTGAAATTGAATAACTAGAACACTTTAAATTGCTAAAATACCAACAAATAAATCAAAAAACAGCTGTCAATGGTGATTAAACTCAGGTGGAGGTGTGATCGCTGAATGGAAATCGGAGCAATTCGGGTGGCGTCGTGCAACAATGATTTTCAATTGGTGGGTTACTTTGGCTTAAAATAGACAGCATGCGCAGTGTGCAATGTTACATCTTCGGTCTCTTTAATCTAAGTGTATGAATTACTTTTTATAAAACAATAAAATCCAATACAACCCATGAATACGCCCATGAAAGGGTCGCTTATCTAGTAGACTGCGTAAGTCGGTGCTGGTTTGACATTTTCACAGATAATGAAAATCCACATTTATATACAAACTTTATTTTGAGACGATGAACACTTATTTACAAAGTTGCTTTATTTTATGTACACATTTTATTTTATGTTAATCCTACACATTACCATCTTTGCTTAAGCGGCCAGTGGCCGAATTCTTACTTTAGCCCATCCGAGCTATGTGAATGTCTAGACAAGACTCCCTGTTTTCGACTCGTCACAAAAGAGAGATGACATACGCTGGCTAAAAAAAAAGTGATTGGACTTGAAACTTCTTCGCGTTGAGTTAGAATAGGTTTACACTCATTTAGTCACGTAGACATCTACCACACGTTTGTTTACTCACGTAGGCAATAGACACGTGTGGATTGAGTACAGAACCGGTCCTCAAATTTAGATATAAGTTATGTTTAAAATGTGTTTTAAAGAAGTATTTCAAAATCTGGTTTTAGCAGATTTCATGGAATATAGGTATTGTTGAAGACTGTACGTATTATATTCTTGAGTCAATAATTTTTTTTAGGGTTTGACAATTTCATTATGCTATTGTTTTCTGAATACAGAAGTTCAGAATATCATCAAACATCACTTCGAAAATTGGAAAGCACGTAGATCTTTAGGATCTCATTTAGGAAGAAAAAGTACAGATTGGCATTCAGGAATGAATAATAATCGGTATGTATGTATTTAAACACAGCACTTAAGTTTTATGTTAGTATTTTCGCATAGGAGTAGAGGTTAGAGATCCCGGAACACCAAAAACGGTTAAATATGAAAGTATTCTTGAACACCCAGACGTTCTTTGAGCTATCAGGACTTTACTGCTACTGGTCAATTAATTTTTAATTTCTACCTTTGCTTCCCCTAAGGGGCCCAGACAGGTTCTTTCCAATCAGACTCTTCTGTTTCTAGCATAGCGACGCTACAACCTCATAAGCGAATTGTACTATAATTCTCAATATAGAATGTGGCAAAAACGACAAGATAAATAATGATCAGGAACGGAAATAATTATACGGAAGTTTATTAGCTCCAGAACTAAAGATACTTGGAATATGCCACACAGGAGAAAAACTGAGAAAAAGTACTGGTTTGTGAAAAACTTCAAAACCACAGAGTTGGGATGCAAGAAAGAACGATGCCAAGTATCCATCGTGTTTGCAACCGAATGGCATGTAATTCAGTGGTATATAGATGGTTCCAAAACGACAGAAGGAACTGAAATAGGAGTGTATGTGCCTAGAACCAGGTACTTAGAAATTTGGGTAAATACCCAAACAATTTCCAGGCAGAAATGCACGCCATTAAGAAGTGTACCCAGTTCAATATCGAGAGAAACTATTGCAGACAATAGATTATCATCATGTCCAATAGTCAAGCAGCCATCAAAACGCTGAACTCTTACGTAATTAGCTCAAACATGGTCTGGAGATGCCTCGAAAGACTGAATGAGGCAGGCGAGAAAAATACAGTTATTCTCACTTGGTTCGGTCCCGGGAGATAACGGGCTAAAGAGTAACAAGAATGCAGATAGTCTCGCAAGAAAATGGTCCCTATGTGGAATCTGAGGCGTTTTGCAGTTTCAGCAGTAACACAATATTAGGAAAGATTATAAAAAGAATTGGGCAGTAAAAGGATCGATAATCGCTAAGATACTTCTGAATTACTATAACCAGAAAAGAACGACAGCCTGTATATCCGTCTGAGCAAGAACAGGCTTACCGAGCATTGTCGACTCAAAGGACACCTTAGTAAACTGGGACTAGTAGAAGGTAGTAAGTGCAAATTCTATGAGTAAGAGGAGGAAAGCTCAATTCACATTCTGACTGAATGTGTAGCACTTCAGAATCCAAGGGAACTATACTTAGGAGCACATCAAATAGAGGAGGGCGATCTACCTAACTTGGAGCTCTTCCAAATCCTACATTTTCTTGAGACGATATGATTGGATGGGTTGTTATAAGCATGGTGACTATTCCCTTGCTGCATTAACGATAAAAGGCGACACAATAGATATTTTAGTTCGCAGTTTATTAATACCCCATACATAACATAGGTACACGGATACACTGTATTGGTATAGTAATTTTTATTTTTAATAATAGGTAACAAAAATTTTGGATAATTAAGTTGAGTTTATTCGCTAGTTTAGAATTACAGTATATTTTGGGATCATGATATTTACATGTTTTCAGTAGACACACTGAATGGACTTTGGTAAGCGCTAGCGAAGTAGAAGCTGCTACTCCTAACAATCACAATACAGAAACTACTGAAACTACAGAAACTGCAGAAATGAAAAATGAAGAAGGATAATAAAAAAAATATATATTTTAATCTTTTTAGTACCTGATAATTTTAGATTTTAACTTTTTTAAAACATGTTTCTAAAATATAAAATGTTAATAATGACTTTGTTGATTCCAAGAATCTTTAAGATTAACATTTTTGCGAGAACGGGTTAAATTATTTTTACTTTAAATACAAAATCAAAGTCAATGTAATGCTTGATGCATTAAAATGATTATAATTTTTTCAATTTTGGATAGAAGAATTCGTAGTTTTTGTATATTTACTCACAAAATTACTAACATGATATTTTGTAATAAACTTGTAATTACCCACCAAATTTTAGATAATTTTTATTATATTATATATTAAGAAAAATGTCTGTTTTTTTAAATCTCAAATTGTAGACGTCTATATTTTCCGTGTTAAATCTTACAAGCCACATAAGGGGTCACGCAAGAATCATATTTCTAATCATTACTCTTTTTAATATTCATTAAGTAAAAAAAATTGTTTACAATTTGAATTTTTTAATATACAATGTGAATCCTTAGTTGATATTTTTTTTAACCGTGTATAGAAGTTTACAGAATTAAAAAATATAATTCCGGATCTGGACTTGTGCACGAAAAGTTACGCTAAGTAATAAGTTTGTTTTTATCTTTTTTGTTTTGTTTTTCCTATGATTCGTTGTGTACCGGTTATTGTAATTCAGACCGGTGTGATTTTAGCAGTGTTTGTGAAGCAAATTGTTCCCTGTGGTAAATTGAAATGCGGGTGATTGCAGAGATCACGTCATAGAAAAGTGTGGGCAACATTGCGGGAAAATCAGCTGTATTCCTTTGACGTTCACTTGTTATCTTGTTCAAGCATTACAAGTTGAAGATTTCTCCTGCAAAGTTGTTTTGTTCTTACAACAGCATGAATGTGATTAACATTTTTCGAAAGTTCTACACATTATTTAAGTTAGGTTAGGTATTGGAATATAACATTTTTATTTTTGAGTTTTTTTTAAGTTGTTTATTTCTATACATAGTTTAATAAATGTATCAACTTAGGATTTATCCTGTATATAGATTTTTTTAAGTTTTTTTGCTGTAGGATCATTTGACGATTGTTTAAATATTAGGCAGGATTCTCCAACTTAATCTCAATAAATAAGTGTTTTTTAAATGTAAATAAATGTTTGTGTATTTCATTCATTAGGGATATATTTCTGTTTTAATAATCGAAAAGATTTATGTTTATATAACATTTTTTGCCCAATAAAATGAGTTTCAACTTTCATATATTTTATATCTTAAATAAATCATGCTAACTTTTATGGCATTTTTATAAGAACTTGTATTTCGGCTACGTATTTACTTAGCAGATAAAATTTTGCAATTTTTATAATGCTCGCTTTACATCTGACAATGTCTTCAAGAATTAATTAACTCATATAAAACAACATTAAGCGAAAATAAAAATTTCAAAATCAGTACCCTCTCTATACTTCTTTGTTTCAAACCCGGCAATCTCCACGTGCCAGTTGTTGGTACCAAAACTGCAACTGCGAATTTGGTAAAGAGTTACCAGTTGTTTTAATTTAGCTTAATGAACACTGATTTATATGATCTGTTTACCTATTAATAAATAATAATTATAATATAACCAACCCTTTAGTATTTTGTAATAGTTAATTAGTCAGTTTTCCAGGTATTTAAAATTAAAGATCTCCAAATTTTTCCTTATTTATTAAAATAACTGTGATGAGTTTTTAATATTTATGCAAGTCAGCACAATTCTTTAATACCGATAAATATTAAAAAAATTACTTTGGTTCTAGACCTCTCAAGTGTCACTTTTTTGACCGCATTTACTTTACGGCCGCTTTTTATAAACACAGGTTTATCATAGTAATTCTGTACAAATTTTATTTTTATTCGATCAATAAAAATTTGAAACAATTTTGCAGTCAAGCCTCTTTTTCAAAAACAAGTATTCAAAAAAATATTGACTCTACTTGATGAGAAGGGCTAAAATGAATTTCAAATGCATCTTCCGGTAAGAAATCAGGGAACTCAGCCATCCTCTAGTATAATAACATACCTTATACGGAGTGGCCCAAAAGTCTGGAAACTGCCTATTATCTCGAAATTGCTAATCCTAATTGTACAGAATTTGGGATACACCTATTTTGGGATACAGAGATTCCAGATTTAATATTTGCAATGTTGCCAGATTTGCCGTTTCTCTTATAATATTAGTCACTTTGGTTTTTCAAATTTATCACCCTGTATATTCAGTCATTATTGGAATCTCCTATTCAATACGAGTTCAACCATATGTAACACTTATGTAGTCTGGAAGGTCCTAAATAAATAAAACAATCATGGAGAAATGTGGTAGACACATTCTATCATCGATTAGGGTACTGTCAACTCACAAATGAAGCACATTTTGAACACTTGATAAAGTAACCATTATGTTAAAAAAGTTATAATCTTTCAATTGTTACATTTTAATGTAGTTGAAAATAGTTTGTATTAAAAAATTTATTGAGACAATTAGGCGTTGCCAGACTTATTTTTATTTTTTTTTTCCAGACTACATAAAATCATAAAGTGTTACATATGGTTGAACTCGTATTGAATAGGAGATTCCAATAATGACTGAATATGCAGGGTGATGAATTTGTAAAACCAAAATGACTAATAATTTAAGAGAGACGGTAAATCTGGCAACATTACAAATATCAAATCTGGAATCACCGTATCCCAAAATAAGTGTACCCCAAATTTTGTACAATTAGGACTGGCAATTTACGAGATAATTGGCCGTTTCCAGACTTTTGGGACACTCTGTATACCTAGTCATTATTGCAATCGTCTATTATTATTGACTGATTTAGCTTTAGCAACATATACTTGCCATCGTGATAAAAATCTAGTGAACCTTCGCAATATAGGTACCTGGTAATTTTTTAAATCCAACCGGGATTGAGTGAAAACACTTCAGCATGCAGTGTTTTAATTGGCGACTGTTAGAATTTATAATAAAAGATGATTCTCAATAAATAATTAAACATAATATCATAAGAGGTGAGAAGTTTTTGAGAACATTTTGTTTCTTTGGAAATTATGCGTCTAAATTTCACGAAACAAAATCTTCCTTAAAATACCATGAGACGTCAGTCGAATGGTATTTGAAAATATTTAACAGAACTTTATAAACATTTGCTGTTTCCGTAAGATGAATCGACACTGCATTTAAAAATTATATTTCAACGATCAAACCGAATTGTGTCCATTTCACATTGACGTTTCCCATAAATCATTGATATGTTACTTGGTAATGAATTCAATATAAGGAAAGTATATAGGAATCATGATTTTTTTTAATCTCAAGTTTTCGACGGATTTTTGAGATCTCCTGAATATCCGTTTTGACTATTTTCGGGATGATGCCTGTGTGTGTGTGTGTGTGTGTATGTGTGTGTATGTGTGTGTGTATCCACCATAACTCATGAACCGATACACAGAAAAACACCAAATTTTAAACTTCAGCTTTATTCCAGCGTGGTCATTTTTATATTTTATGGAATATATCTGTTTTGAAAAGAAATTTCTTCAAATAAAAGTTACTTCTAATATTATTATCTATAATTTTTGTTCCATACAAAATTTTCCTAAAATGGTCCGTATTCGAGAAATTTGACAAAATGTAAAAAAAAATCTTTTTTTTTATAAAAATTGTTTAAATAATAGTTGTTTGTAATATAATTGTCTATAACTTTTATCCTATACATAATTTCTCTCTCAAAAACGGATTAAGAAAAAAACATTAAATTTTAAACATAGTCGGAACATCTGGAGGGGTACTTTATGGGAGGCCGTTTTTATATTTTATGGAATATATCTGTTATTTATGTTTGGAGAAGAAAAGTGTTCAAATAAAAGATAATTTTTGTTTTATGTCAAAATTTTATGAAATGGTCCGTATTCGAGAAATTTGACAAAATGTGCAAAATTCTGGTATTTATGAAAATTGTTGAACTAAAAGTTGTTTGCGATATCGATCTCTATAATTTTTGTTTATATGTGATTTTTCTAAAATGGACCGGAATGGAAAAATTGTAGGAAAAGTGCTAAATTTAAATTTTTCAGTATTTTCGTTTTCAATGAATATCTATAGAAAAATATTTCGAAGTAGATGTATGTGGAAAATGTATATATTTAGTTTATCCTCTAAACATTTATAGAGGTGCTGCAATAGGTTGTAAAAAATAACCGGAAAAAGCTTATAATAACTAGATAAGAAAGTCATGTGTTGGACACATTAGATTTTTTAAATAGAATCGGCATTCAGTGTTTTTAGATAAGTACAGTTTATTTTGATTCCGGCTTCTGTTGGAATAAAAGATGCGTGTCATTGGTTGATGGTTAGTTAAACTACTCGCAAACGTCAATCAATTTTCAGTAAAGAAAATTCAATGAATTATTAACAGTAGTTATAAATAAAATGTAGTTAAATGTAATTATTTGTTTGCGGGACATATTTAAACTTAGTTTTACAAAATAGTTGGTACAATGATAAGTCGCTAAAATGATCGACCAATATTTACTCTAATTCAATGTATTTCCGAACGCAAATCTGCTAAATTTAGTAACAATAATATTGAATTAACATGTCCTATATTATTTATGTATTTCAGTAATTATCGCCTCTCTATATGCGTCAATAATTCATCTTTAACTGCCTGATGATGCTAAATAAGATATATAAATAGCTAGATTGTTAGTTAATGATCAAATATCGCATAGATTTCAAACGTGAAACATTGAGAATTCGAAATGTGTAAATTGTTTATAGTGGTTGTGTGCTTTGCAGTAGCAAAATCAAAGACTATTAATAAAATAAGTGATCCTGTAAGTGCAACTGATAGTTTTAATATCGAAAAAAGATCAATAGATGACCCGTTGGTTGAAAAAGTTCATGAAGATCTAGGACATGAAAGAATTTCTTTGGCCTTGAACGCAGAAGACCTAGAAGATGCAAATGATATTCACCAATTGGAAAAACGAGAAATTTTGCTTCTTGAAGGTATATATGGGACAGACGAATCTGGATCACTTTTTAAGAGGTCGATTAGAAGCCCTGTTACTAAAATAAGATCAATAATATTGCCTGCTAGCGAAAGAATATCAAAACGTTCTTTAAACCAACAGTATGTGGATGTTGAGGAAACTACTCGACGAGATATGTCTCCTAAATTTGGTTTAAGGAAAAAAAGAAACTCGCCGAATAGGATATATCGCAGATTTGTTCAGGATCGCTTTACTGGAGGAATTGTTATTGATCCTTGGATGGGAAGATTATAAATTATTTGAATTTTTCCCATTTTTACTGTGATGCCAAAGGTTGTGACAATGACGATTTAATGGTGAATTTAATAAAATTCTGTACAAGTTATTTATATTTATTTTTTTATTGGTTTTTAATAAATGTTTTAATTAAACTGTATTGTTTTTAAAATCCTAAATGTCGTCGAAAGTGAACCTACTCAGTTAAAAGTATGAAATACTAATTCATTTTTAACTTTGAATGGTTATTACCTAATTGCAAGTAATGGATGAAAAACAATACTAAATTGAATATTATTAATTATTCGGCTTACTTAGTGAAAACTTGGTTTCAATTCTGTCTAATAATTGATTAATTGAATTGACAGATTCAGGTTTTTTCACCCTTTTATGCATTTTTACTTTCCTATCTGTATACAGATATAAGGAAAGTATACCTAGGAATCATGATTTTTTTCGACCTCGAGTTTTCGACGGATTTTTACGTTTTGAGGTCCCCTGAATCCGTTTTGACTATTTTCGCGATGATGTCTGTGTGTGTGTGTGTGTCTGTATGTCGCATAACTCATGAACCGATACACAGAAAAACACCAAATTTTAAACTTAAGCTTTATTTCAGCGTCTAATGAACTGATTAGATTTTGGACAGAGTCGGAACATCTGGGGGGTACTTTATAGGTGGTAATTTTTATATTTTATGGAATATATCTGTTATTTACGTTTGGAGAAGAAAATTGTTTAAATAAAAGTTACTTCTAATATAATTATCTATAATTTTTGTTTTATGTTAAAATTTCCTGAAATGGTCCGTATCCGAGAAATTTGACAAAATGTGCAAAATTCTGATTTTTATGAAAATTGTTGA